GGTATAAGGTGCACCCATGGGAATTAAGCAACAGAAACCGACTCGAAAAAGCGATTAAACTATCATATAACAAAAAACTACGAACTCCTCTGTTTAAAGATAATTTTTACATTGAGTAGGAATGATTTGTGATGACCGCACATATGAGCGAATAAATTATGCTTATTTATGTAAAGCTGTCGTAAAACGTTTTGTTAAACTGCTGAGTTACATGTAATCATGATGAATAATCTCAAAATGTGACCTGACGGAAAGATCTTAACAAGCGTGTAACAAAACAGAGTGTGACGTCAGTTGTAATGATAGGTGGGGCGTTGTATCATGTGTCACAGAGTGTTTTCTAGATCCTTCTGTAAGCTACTCACGGTACAATTGCAGACAAACAATCAATTACTTGGGAAGAAATCGCACCAAAAGGGAAAATCATTCTATACAAAATTTAAAGTGCGGGTTGGAGAGTATTGCATTACAATTTTCGAGCGATAAGAGGTCATGCGACAAGATACAGTACTTTGTTTTACTGAAATTGATGGTAAACTTACACTCCCAGCAAATTGCAGTCAGCTCCGTACATCATCTGACAAAACTAAATAGAAATTAGAAAACACTGTCGAAAATACCGAAAAATGTACAGTGAAAAGATAATCTTACATGTAACTTAATTAAAGGCGCAGGTGATGTAATTAATGTTATTTCAACAAAACACATTCAAACATATTTGTAAAACTGATCAAGATTTACACAACAATTTGTTTACCGAAGGATGTAGAGTACACCGAGATGAGCGAAACTAAAAGTGGTACATCTCGAAACGGCAACAAAGAATAGATCAATCTGTGTGATGTAACACACTAAACAGTATCATGTAACACAGTGAACCTAGGTTGATCCAGCGGATTATTAACAAGAATAACTAGCTGCGACTACACATCGCCCGTAATACATAATATGGACATACGAGCCAAACATAATAACACATAATATAGTACTTGGTATCTACACTGCTGCGTATAAGGGTACATTCCTCAAATATGGGATAATAGGACTATAGCGACCATGCCGTTATAGGTTATAGTGGGCATACGCGTTAGGCTAGCTGTTACTGTACTAGATATTACTAATATGTCGACATATTCAAACTGTAAGCAATACAAATCGAGGAACTAAATGTACAAACTAAAGAATGCCGGACAATAGATTTAAGGAGTGACCAATAGTAGCATAGTTTCCACGATAAATATTGACTATTCACTACTAGTACTACCTGGAGACAATTATCCTGAGGAAAAAAAGATTTGTATTAAGGAATAATTAGCCGGTATGAAGTAATTTTGTCGGTTTGTAACTGATCAGCATGCCCATTAGTTAACAAACAGAGGACATTATTGTGTAACTAGATAATAAAGAAAGTATTCAGAAACATTTGTCAGGAGAAAGAGTATGATGAGGTGATCACTATGATAATTGATACCTATAAGAGAGTGAGAATGACAAGGGCCTGCTAAGTTTCAAATAACACTGGTCACAATAATATTAATAAGAACTTTCATGAAATCAGTTAAATCGTATTAGAGTGAAAATTTAGATTTTGTTATTGTTTAAATATACCTATATTATAATTAGGGTGCAGCTTTTCGCCTGGTTACCTGGTTTTGTGGCAACTGTGACTGGTTATACACTGGCATCCTGAAACGGGGCCATTGAGAACAGAACTAGAAGTAAAAGAAGTCTGAGGAGGAGGAGACAGGGCCAAATGGCATTGACTGCAGTAAATTATGGGACATGAGTCATTAAACTCGGAGTAACCACAATTAGAATAATGACTACGTTTGAGCTGTAAGCGGAGCTAATCGATATTTCATTGATTACTGAAATCATTGAGAAGTGATTAGCATACCAACTTATCGTGCTAATTGCGTACCTACAACTTACTCAAGATCTTAGTGCCATGGCCAAGAATCTACAGGTTGCATCGTCACTAAAATAAAAAGGACCGGTACACTTCAGTTGAATTAATCTCGATTATACATTCTAACTAAAATAATTGGTCGATTATAATTATGTTATGCAGTTGCATACTACATCGACAGCATTCATATCTTTTAGCAATCATTAGGCATCATACCAATAACAATAAAGCCGGCCGCTATTGATTAAGGAGTCCTCGGTCAAAATAAAAAACAGATGAAAATTTTAGTGGAAACGAACGTGACCAATGCACAATGAAGCTCAATAGAGCTTAATTAAGCGAACGCATTCCCCATGTTAAACAATGATGCCCGGTCATTGTTAAACTTAAACATAGTCATAACCATGAATGAGTCTGAAACACGAAAATTTCTGGTGATCAAAATGCAAACATTGATATACTATATAGTTTATGTAATAAGCGCCATTACATGAGTTTGCACAGAATTTTTTGTCTCTGATTTTGATAAATTTGGTACCAAAAGTTGCCTCTAAGTGTGAATAATGCAAATTCACCTTGTAGCACGATAACTTCGAGCTGTATGTGGGCCTCCTGTGCATTGCAAGAGTGTAAACAGGACGAAAAATAGGTAACTTCTTGCTTAAAATGCCTACAACTCCTAAAATAATTTTTACAGGAACGTAATTATAAGCTTAGTAATATAATAGTCGGACGCAACTTTTGGTACCAAAATTATAATATTTGAAGGACCAAAATTTTTTCAAAATTTCACACAAGATCGAGAGGACCTTTGTGTTCAGGTTTTAAAAATTTGAAAATAATGTTCCTTTAAATTAAATCTTATGATATTAGTACTTAAAGTTTTGTTTCGATAAACTGATTACGATGGTTGATGCCTTCCCAGGAAACCTTACTGGTTGGGGCCTAACTTCGAAAGTAAAAGAAATAGAAACTTCGGTTTTTTGCAAAATGTTCCCCTTGTAAAACTAAAAATAACGTTTCCCCAGGAGGAAAATTTGAAACAACGTTAAATGTTGATTTTCTGTTTCAGTTATTTCAAACGAGCGTGCTAAATCACTCTACAGTCGATCTTCGAGATTGTTCTAAAAGGGCTCCCGACAGTTGAAACCAACTTCAATCGATGTATTTTCGGACGCTGATTCCGAATCACCCCCCATGACATAGGGTTAAAATGCTCCCCTGACGAGATATTGGCGAAAAACTGTCTCGATCACGTGATATGACCATATAAGGAAGTTAGTCTAATTTCTCGTTAGGGTTAGGGTTTCAGCATATGCTTTTGTTATGGATTGGGTTAGGGTTAGGGTTGGAATCAGACTAGAGGGTTAGGGTTTCGAATAGTCTTTCAGGGCCAGCTAGAGAACGGGTTGAAAAAGTCACGTGACAGTCGAGTGTAGAGTGATTAATCATCATCCTATTTCAAAATCTCCAGAAAAGTCTCATTTTGGGCCGATCAAAAATTTGCAACTTTAACTTTGCGGATTCCTGTACTCTGATTGGCGGAATTGTGTCACGTGATTCAATTGTAGCGCGATGCACTACTAGTACTGGGTCGCGCCGCGCATTTTCTCGCAACCACATATGCCGATTTCACATAGCCATGTGTATACGCGTACTGCGTGACGCGCTTGTTTCACCACCTTCGGCGCTACTGCAATGTGCAAGCAAGAGGGCTCTGGTTAGTGCAATATGCAAATCGGCGAGATGCGAAGAATTGACATCGTGAATCAAGTGATTCAATTGCATTCTTGCAATGTTTGAAGTGAGCGTGCTAAATCACTACACAGTCGATCTTCAAGATTGATCGAAAAAGGCCCCCAGAAGTTGAAACCAACTTGAATCGATGTATTTTCAAACTTTGTCATACGTTGCTTGACCCGCCGCGCACGAGCGCGCCGCTCCCCTATATCGTAAGATCAAAACGATATTACTGGGCGGGGCTCAGCCTGTCATTCCGGCGAATCTTTATTCGGGCTGAGTGAATTACGACTTCCATCGCCCTGGAAAAAAGTGCGAATGCTTATTTAACGGGTGATACTCGTAAAATATCTGTTCCATATATTGGACCGTCCAACTCGGCGCGCGTCCTGGTATAGTAGGTTGTAAACCTACAAATGCTTATTGGATGTTAGAGCGCACGTAACTCGCATTCACGTGATCGGTCAGACCCAATTACAGCCGCGCAAAAGATCACGTGCACGCCAACTACCAATAAGAAAGAAGTGACGTATGCGCTACATAACAAGAGCCGCGCGCTCAGTTAGATTGTAAAATCTGATTATTTGATTGTAAAATTGCATAAACGCGCCTATTTGTAGGTAGTGCGCTTGATTCACGATGTCAATCCTTCGCATCTCGCCGATCTGCATACGGCGAGAATGTGGTTGCGAGAAGCATTATTTGATGCGCGCGCGACCCAGTAGTGCATCGCGCTACAAGTAGTGCGCCATCGACAGTGAGCCGCGCGTGCCGACTGTAGGATGGTTTTTTAGCGCTAATTTCGGCCAGCACAATTTTCTTCAAACAAATAGATATTGAGTATTCTTCCCGACCTCCAATTGCAACAAAAATTGGTAAGCTTACTCATAGACTTACAAGAAAAGTGTCCGAAAAATTTAAAGCATATCCAACCATCAGACATTATGTTACAGCTAAAAGCAGCGTATTTTGCCCCATTTTGATCACTATATCAACTCCGATAACCACCAAATTTTTCGGACAGTTGTGAAAGCCCTATTGGAAGGTTGTCGCCAATTTCCAGAATGATCTCATTTAAGGAACTGAAGATAAATCCGAATAATACGACAAAAATGGTCAAATTTGGACGAATTTGGTCAAATTACGCGACTTTTACAGCTACTTTTGCTCCAAAAGCCGCGCACCATCAAATATGGCACCTAGGCGAAACTCACTGATCTTTCCAAAAAGGTATGACAAATTTGTTGATTCACGATGTCAATCCTTCGCATCTCGCCGATCTGCATGTGGTTGCGAGAAGCATTATTCACCACTGCGCGCAGTGTTGTGACCGCTCTTCGTCGTATTTTACACATATTTGGACGTTGGCAATTTATTCCATCGATAATTTTAAAGTTTTAACATTTTTATATTAAATTCTTTTTTAATTTAGTTCTAAAACGATTAAGCTTGCTTTCTGTGAAAATTTAATGTACTTTCGTAAAATAATTTTGATGTGGCAGCGATTTGAAAAGGAAATTAGTTAAAAATAATACAAAAAAATCGGACATTTTTTGATATTAAAACATGAATAACTTGGGCTGTGTTGACAGTAGAAAAATTTATTAACCTCTATCCGACAGCTTTAAAATTTTTCTACGCGCCGCGCAAATCCACGCGCGCATTTTAGCGTGTCAAAATCGTTTAAAACTAGAATTAGTTGATGAAGGAGCATAATGCAGATCATACGTTGTACGTGTGGCTTGAACATTATGATTTCGCGCCATTTCTTGTTTCTGCACTCGCTTTGAACTTTCATGGCTTTAACAGCAGTTATCGACTGACGACTTTGCTGTATTACATAGTGTACTTGGTACATAATTGATCAACGATAATAGGAGGAACCCCTGCAAGCTTTAAAGGGCTCGTGTTACTTTAACATCACTTTTGAATTTCACGAAAGCAGATAAAAGGTAGGTTTTCGTTGAATCAAAGTAAGCTAATATCAATTAGAACGAGTATAATTGTGTTACTTTAATACATCGCTTGGTACTGTATTTTATAGTTAACTAACGACATTCTCGCTTTAGGTTATTTTATATAAAACACTTTTATCATTGTTGATTGTGACTTGTCCAATCATTGCACTAGTTTATTACAAAGATTATCAAAATCTTGCGGTAAAATTATTATACAAGCACCCATAAATGACAAAAGTCATTTAATTTCAACATTCCTCATTGCTTTTGTGATTTCCTGCAGCTCTTACTACTGGGCAGCTCTTACTACTGGGCAGGTCGCCCCGTGGTGGTTCATGGAGGCGTCTCAAAAAAAACTGACTGAACTATAACATATAATCTAAATATGATAAGTGCTTATTAACCTCTCTGCTTTAATTCAAACCTTTTATAGAATCTACATATGAACTTACAATGTTTTGCAGTTTTAGTGACGTTGCAGAAACTCCGGAATACTGTGGATTGGGAGGAGGAGAAAGTGATAATTCTGTTATATGGCCTGTTTCTAGGACACGATAAACTTCCTAATAAGGTATTTTTTTCAGGATACGATAAACTTCTTAATAAGGTATGATCTGTAGCTAGGACACGATTAACTTCCTAATACAGTATGTGTAGATGATAACCTCCCTTCCTCTTCTAGATCAGATGGCTAAGTTACGGTGCAAAGACGGGTAGCTTGAGACTACCCGTTGTTACCTATAATCTAACTCACTCTTTCCACATACGCGGCTAACCTGTTCCCGATCAATATTCAGGTAGTGGAGAACTTAGAGTTAGATTATTTATTCCGCTTTTTGACTTTCCCCAGTCTTCATGCTAGATTCCCGTTCATTTTAGAGCCTCATTTAATCAGTCGGCCTTACTAAAGAACCTCTCACCCTAATAAGAACACGTAACTTGAAGTCTGATCGACTACATAGCTTTCGCTACAGCACTAACACGTGCATTTACAGAGGAGCAAAAGTTTGCGGAGGCATCCTAGAACGGTACATATTTTAATATATCATGCACGGGTGCCATTCTGTTTGTTTGGTTCACAGCTATTTCCTACTCCTAGACTCCGTGTTCGGACTTTTGATTTCTGTACCAGTTTATCGTTAACTTAGAGTTAGATTATTATTCCGCGTTTTGATTTTCCCCACTCTCCATGCTATTATTGCTAGATTCCTGTTCATTTCAGAGCCTCATTTAATCAGTCGGCCTTACTAAAGAACCTCTCACCCTAATAAGAACACGTAACTTGAAGTCTGATCAACTACATAGCTTTCGCTACAGCACTAACACGTGCATTTACAGAGGAGCAAAAGTTTGCGGAGGCATCCTAGAACGGTACATATTTTAATATATCATGCACGGGTGCCATTCTGTTTGTTTGGTTCACAGCTATTTCCTACTCCTAGACTCCTTGTTCGGACTTTTGATTTCTGTACCAGTTTATCGTTAACTTAGAGTTAGGTTATTTATTCCGCTTTTTGATTTTCCCCACTCTCCATGCTATTATTGCTAGATTCCCGTTCATTTTAGAGCCTCATTTAATCAGTCGGCCTTACTAAAGAACCTCTCACCCTAATAAGAACACGTAACTTGAAGTCTGATCGACTACATAGCTTTCGCTACAGCACTAACACGTGCATTTACAGAGGAGCAAAAGTTTGCGGAGGCATCCTAGAACGGTACATATTTTAATATATCATGCACGGGTGCCATTCTGTTTGTTTGGTTCACAGCTATTTCCTACTCCTAGACTCCGTGTTCGGACTTTTGATTTCTGTACCAGTTTATCGTTAACTTAGAGTTAGATTATTATTCCGCGTTTTGATTTTCCCCACTCTCCATGCTATTATTGCTAGATTCCTGTTCATTTCAGAGCCTCATTTAATCAGTCGGCCTTACTAAAGAACCTCTCACCCTCTTAAGAACACGTAACTTTAAGTCTGATCAACTACATAGCTTTCGCATACCGTTTCGTATCACGTATTTATCATCTCTCCTTCTTCAGAGACTGGCTTTATTTCAACATACCGTATCGTATCACGTTTTTATCGTCTCTCCTTCTTCAGAGACAGGCTTTCTTTCAGCATGGTTACCCAGAGACTTGATGGTATCAGGGTTCTCGATGTTCTGAGTAATGAATTTAGTTTTTCCCTTCATTCATTCTAAGTCCCACTGTGGCAGCAACCCTTTCTATCTCTTGCATCAGCGTCTCTGTCTCCTTTTCAGTATCTGCTATCAGAGCAATGTCATCCACAAAACCAGTGACCGATATCTTCTCCACCTTGACTCTCCTACTCCTATAAGGCTTTTAATGGTAAATCCTATTTCAGGGTGCTTGCTTAAGGCTTGTCTCATGCAATAGTCTAGGGCTATTATAATGAACAGGTACGGTATGGTGCTAACATCTGCAAGATCTTAAGGAGAGAGTGGCGTGACACACCCTCTGTAATCAATAAAATTTTGCGAAACTTTCAGAAATACTAAGTTTGACCCAGATTTAAAGGTCGCTAGACTGAATGCAATATTTCAGTTAACAACTCTACCTCGATTCGATGCAGTGCACAGTGGGAAAGGTTGAAGTTGACGTTCAAGCAGTCACCCTGCCGAACAAGAAATCTTTCAGGCCAAGAGGCTAGGTGACTAGAAACTCAAGATTCACTATATCCGTGAAACTTGTCGGGAGCACTGTTATGTGAGTTATTTTACCTTCTAAATTCCAATGAGCATGAAAATTACCCAGGTTCATGGAATGCACGAAAATGAACAAAAATTAATATTCTCCTAAAACTAAAAGTGCTCAGAACGGTTTAAAACTGGCCGGAAAGCGTTTAGATTGGTCCTAGGACCACTCAAACCAAGTTTGGGAATCACTGCATGTCTACAACCGATGTAACCAATGTTCCAAAATGTTCCAATTTTGTCCCAATAACTCGTTCACCAGCCTACCTCCGTTCACCAGCATGCGCTGTGACCGTCATGGTCACGGCGCAAGATGCGCGCATTTTAAAATGCCGGGAACACATTTTAATTGCCATTGTACATTATAGTACATAGTGGACAGTGGAGTGTGTGGTCTGATACTTGATAGTAGACAGAGGTTATATTTGAAACATTCCCGGTGCCTTCAACTGTTCTTTACTGTGCATGCACTGACTATTTGATTGCTTAAACGAATAGGCGAGCCTTCAAAAACATTAGTTTCAATGTTTTCATAGTTTTATGATGCAAATATAATTTTTCCATTTACATAACTGATAATACCCCCAATATCTTTTCAGTTGTGGAGGTCGGACCGAAACTGTAATCAGACACTAAACATTGACGAGGACCAATTACTCTACTCCTTCAATGATTAATAAAGATCGCTGATTGCTTTTACTAATGTATAATGTTAAAATGAAAGAGAAACTATCGAGACGAAAGAGAAAAAGGCACTCATTTATTTATAGTTTTATGTCTTAACAATGATATTCGAAAGCTAATTTTAAAAACTGGCTCTGAATCCTTGCTAAATGATTTGGGAAGGTGTAAGGGCTTAATATGCCTGTAGACATCATTTTCAGTGGGTTTTATGAAGTTTATGATTAGAGTATATTTTGGGACTGAAATAAGCGCAAGACCTTCGACGTTTCTATTCCTACTGTTTTTTTAATTTAGCAAATATACAAACAAATTTTATACTGTCGTAAAGATAAAATATTTAGTTATCGGATAGAGACTTGAAAATTAAGTATTACAATAACCAAGCTAAAATATTCAATGTTAAACTCAAAAATTTTCACGCGTCTATGAAGAAATATTTAGTTCTGCGCGTAGTTTTTTGGTCAAATCTACGGCAAATTTTCGCCAATTTTGTTCATAGTTTCAAAATTTTATTTAGTAGACAAATTACTTCGGACTACATCCATATTGTTTATTTAAGTCTAAAAGAAACAACATTTATTTGACTTCAAAATTGTTCAATCTGAATACGAGCTAATTACGACGAAGGGAGGTCACAACACTGCGCGCAGGAGTGTTATTGGATGCGCGCGCGCGACCCAGTAGTGCATCGCGCTACAAACAAATTTGGTATTGTGAAAATTCTCACAGTCCCTAGAAAACAGTGGTACAAAAATTTTAAAAATCCGAGCAAGTTTATTTTTTATCAAGAAACCAACAATTTAAGAAAACAACAATTTTATTTAGTATCAGTTAAAGCAGACAAAAACATATTTTATAAATATAACTAGTGCAAACTTTAGACCATATATCTTAGGGGACTTGGAGTAGCAAGAGAGTGACCAGAAAGTATATGTATACTTTTACCAAAAATACGTCGAAATGAATCCAGGGTGATACAGGATCTGAGAGTGCAGACCATAAAGTTTACGCACCCACCCTTGCCTCCTGAATTCTTGGTTGGAAAGACTAGACAATTATGCAAAATTGGTCGTTTATACTCCAAGTCCCTTTGTTAATAGAAGTAGTATTATTTATGTCTGGAGTTAGCTTCATTCAATAATAACAATATCAATATAATCAATATTAATATCAATATCAGACTAAACTATCAAATCGTGCACCCCCTACTATTTGCGCGTATTAGAAGGTTCAATTATGCCAGGCTATGTTTATGAACATAATAGCCTGGGGTCCTCAGGTAAGAACGATAGTGAAACGACCGTAGGGGTCACGACTTGTTACACGTTACCTGAGGACCTCAGGCTATCATGTTCATAAACATAAATAAATAGAAATTCGGCGGAATGACAGGCTGAGCGCGGCCCAGTAAGTTATACGTTGTATGACCCGCCGCGCACCCCTGTATCTTACCTAAGGACCTCAGGCTATCATGTTCATAAACATATAGAATAGAGATTCGGTGGAATGACAGGCTGAGCGCCGCTCAGTAAATATATAAAAAGACAGTAGACGTACAAATCAAATTTTTACGCCGTGCGTGTTGCTCTAACCAAAGCCCTTTTATCTCGCTTGCAGTAGCGCGCGCCACGCAGTACACATAGAGTAAGTACCTCAATTTGCTCAGGGATGCAGTTGATGAACAAAATAGAACTCTCGAGATCATAGCCAACAGAGAGATTCAATCACTACAGGAAGTTAGAGCCGAGGTCGCAGACAGCGTCAAAACGTTCGAAAAAGCGAGTAGCACCTCCAAGAGGCGATTTGAAGATCTAGAGCTCGAGCAAGATAAACTGAAGAAAGCTCTTAGAAGCACGGTAAGTTCTGCTAAGAATGAAACGATCGCCTCAATCGATTCGCTTAGGAACGAGTTCAACAACGCTTTTCAGTCACTTGACACTGTAAGCTCATCTAACAGGACAAGAATTGAGGCCCTTGAGACCAACCATGAGAATGTAGCAATTGTCCTTGCAAATGACGTACAGCCCGTTGTAACGCATATAAGCAAACCTGACACTGCTACCCGGGACGTTCAAAGTAATGGTCCGAATGCAACAGGAACCCCTACCTGGGCCTCAATATCGGCAGCTAACAGCGGAAATCCGTTTACAAAAGCAGACAAACGTAACAACAAAAACCACCGTGAGAGAAAACCGAGCCAAAGTGAGCGGCTACAGAACGGCAGCAGAGGCAATAAACGCACCAACTCACCCACTGTTGGGGGACGAGACGGGTCTCAAAATGGTGGCCGCATGACAACTGTCCAGAACGAACAAGCTCAAGAAGAGCGCCCAGACAATTCTCTAAATGATAGCCGCATGCCTCATCGGCGTGAAAATCATGTACCATCCTCAACTTCACAATCTCGGGAAGTCGGACCAGGCACAGGAACTGGAACCAGGAACTCTCATATCTATCGTAGGCACACGGTACTTCTCATACACGATAGTAACTTTGACAAGTTCAATCCACGTAGTTTCAGTTCTCAATTCAATGTGCACCAATTCGGGGCATCAAGTCTCGAAAACCTAGCAAAGAAACGAAAACAGCTCAACGAGAAGTTGAATAAGCTACGACCAGACTGTATTTACGTTCACCTGGGTATCAACGACCTTACGAAGAGGAAATGTATCCCATCTGGAGCTATCCACGAACTCGCAGAGTATCTCCTGGAGACCTGCAAAGCTCAGATATGTTTTTCACTTTTCATTCCAACCTCTAATGACAAGAAAATGAACGAGCGAATCAAAGCTGTTAACAACGAAATTAAAAGCAATGTTAGCTGGTTCCACAGACAAAGCGAAACCGCTCGTTCACGCATATTCACGTTTGCTAACGACCTGGTCGGCAACCAGAACATTTATTCAATCAACACTGGATTCACCCTAAATGACAGAGGCGAAAAAATGCTCTACGTCAGCCTTCGTGAAGGACTTAAGAAGACGATGCGCATTCCTCACCAGAGCCACGATGGAAATCCTCGTCAAAAACGCAGCTCGAACCGTTTCAAAGATGAGTAAAAACCGGGACACACGCAATTGCCTTAGGCTGATGAGCTGGAACATCAACCATCAGCGTGACAAGTTTGAAGGTATCAAATTTGAAATCGATGAAGTTCAGAAGCTCCTTAACAGTCACGACGTTATCTGCTTGCAAGAAACTAAAGGGCAAGTTTCTTTACGTGACTTCAAATGCTTCAATGCTAACAGGACAGGAACAAACTCAGGCGGTGTATGTACGGCGATTCATAAACACCTAGCAGCTGGAGCTGTTAGAGTCCACGTTCCAGATTGTGACGACATACTCATCGTCAAGCTAAGAGCCAAATACTTTAATCTTGACAAGGACCTAAACCTTATCAATGTATACGACTCGCCAGCACACGGTTCGTATAAAAAACGTATACGTTCGAATACCGAGGAATACATCACTACCTGCGAACAACTTGAGGAGTGCCTATCCAGGATTCCCGACACAGAAGATGCCGCCATACTTGGAGATATGAACGCACGGACCGGTACTCTGAAAGATTTTCTTATTCCCTGCGAATCTAGGAATATACATGTCGATCTCGACCCTCCTCAATTCATAACAGCCTTGACACCAAGAAACAATCAGGACCGAACTTTGAACTCGAATGGCAAACCGTTCATTGAGCTTCTCCAAACAGCAGGGATGATAATTCTTAATGGAAGGACTATTGGAGACATTTTCGGTAGCCATACATGCATTCAACGTCACGGAGCCAGCACTGTTGATTACATCTGTGTCTCACGAGATATCCACCATCGGGTTAGGTTCTTCCATGTGGGCGATATCACACCTTACTCAGACCACAGACCGATATCAACCGCCCTCACCACAAACCATGGGGTGAATCTTCTTGATGACAACCTCTATAAAGAACGTGAACGGAAACTAGCACCAGTGCCGAAGCCCTTCAAGTGGACCAAAGACACTAGCACTGGGTTTGGTACATCAGAAAAGTTCAAGTCGGCCCAGAATGATGCCCAATTCATGCAGAAGGTCGAATCGCTCCTAGCAAATGACATCACCTGCCCCGAAGACATTCGAAAATACAATGACTCTGTGATTACAACCTACATTAACCTAGCCAGCCAGGTCACTACCCAAAAAAGTGGCCGTCTTCACACTAACAAAAACAAATGGTTCGATTGGGACTGCAGAAAGGCAAAACGTCAAGTTTGCAAGATCGAAAGAGTAAAGAACAACCCCTACATTGATCCCATGCTAGTGGAACCTACTCGGGCTAAGTTTTACCTCCGAAAAAAGGAATACAGGGTTCAAGTTCGATCTAAAAAAGGCGCATATCTCTTTCAACTGAACGAGAAAATAAACAATGGCAATGACATCAACTGGTCTGCTTTGAAAGATCTCTCGTCCTCCTGTAGAGATCCTGAGACGTTCGATCTGTACGACCTATTTGCTTTTCACAAATTCTTCAACGACCTCTACAACCAAAAGTGCAAGGATCCATCCCACCGTGAACTTCAAGCCCACAACGCAAGCAATGATGGGAGCAGCCACACTGACCTACCAACTGAAGTGGAAAATCTTAACATGGAGTTCACTCTACAAGAGCTTGAAAAGGTGATCAACAAACTCAAAAACAACAAGAGCGTATCACTGGACCTAATATCGAACGAGATGCTCAAGAACTCCAAACTTTGCCTAAGGAAAGTTCTTCTCAAGTTGTTCAACGGCTGCCTGGAACAGGGGACTTACCCATGGAATTGTTCGATAACCACCCCTCTCCACAAGAAGGGCGACAAACAGAACCCTGACAACTATAGGGCAATAACTGTTGGAAGCTGTCTAGGGAAGCTATTTGCTTCTCTTCTCCTTGAAAGACTTATCGACTTCCGCAAAGTTATCTGCCCCGATTTCCCCCACCAACTTGGCTTCAGAGCTGGTGCACAGTGCTCGGATCACATCCTTACAATTACCACAATCATTGAGAAATACACGAAAAAGCTCAAAAAAAGAGTGTTTGCTTGTTTTGTTGACTACCGGAAAGCGTTCGATACGGTGTGCAGAGAAGCACTCATGTATAAACTCAATCACCTTGGTATCGGAGGGAACTTCTTCGCTTGCCTTAAGAACATGTACAGCAACTCGGTGACCCGCATCAAACTGATCCAAAAACTATCGGAGACCATTGATGTCACCATTGGAACAGAGCAAGGGCATCCAATGTCTCCTGAATTGTTTAAAATATACATCTACGACCTCTCCATCTATCTAGCAGCCCTAGAAGATCTCTCTGTCCCTGAACTTAATGGCTTCCCGGTCAACCACCTGCTCTGGGCCGACGATCTCATCCTTTTAGCTCTCGACCACCAAAGCCTTCAGAAAGAGCTTGACTGCCTAAATGAATTTGCAAGCAAATGGGAGCTATCTATCAACATTGATAAGACTAAAATAATGGTCTTCAACTCAAGCTCGCGGGTGCTAAACTGCTCGTACGGGTTCAAGCTTGGACAGCTCGACATCTCTCCAACAAGGTCCTACTGCTATCTAGGTATCCAGCTCAGTCTCAATGGATCTTTTAAATGCGCCATGAACGAACTGAGGAAGAAGGCGCTTCGAGCATTCTTTTCGATAAAACGCATGGTAGACACCAGAGCTCTGACCACCAAAACCATGCTAAAGCTAATTGACTGTCTGGTGAAACCGGTAGCAACTTACGCCTGTCAGATATGGCTACCCTCGACTCACCTCATGAAAGAAATGGCGCGTGAACCCAGCCAAAGACACAACCTATCAAAAGTTGCAGCAAAAGACAGTCTTGAGACAACACACCTCAAAATGCTGAAATGGGTACTGGGTGTGCACAAGAAAACTAACAACAACTTCTGTTACGGGGATACCGGAAGGACGCCCTGGGCCCTCTCAGTTCTGCCACAATGCCTCAGATACTTTGGAAGACTTTCCAGAGCTTCTTCTGAGATGAACAGTGTCAATTTTTTAGTATCTCAAGCGTTTCAGGAACAGAAAAATCTTAACCTCTCCTGGTACGAGAAAGTTAGCTCTGTGGCTCATTATGAAACAGAAGCAGCTCATGGCACCATGAGGGATGTCTTTATCAGTGACTGGAGGGTGGACCTGGGATCGCAAACCAAGATGCAGTTCTACAACCAAATCAAGGAGGAATTTGGAGAAGAGCAGTACCTCAATCTGAAGAGCAGGCAATTCCGAACGAATACAGCTAAAATCCGCTCCAGCAGCCACGACCTGATGATAGAACGAGGGCGTTACACGAAGGAGGCCGGAGTATGGCCAAGAGCATGCAGATTCTGCTGCGATAGGGATCACGTTCTCGGCTTCGAATACCTTCCCTTCTTTGAAGGCACGATTATTGAAGACGAGGAACACTGCCTTACTGAGTGCCCCATGTACCACTCAGTACGATCTTCTCTCTCAGATGACCTCAAAGGGCTTTTACTTCTAAGGAACTACAAAGACATGATGGATTCAGCCCACATAGAAGAACTGGGCAAGTTTCTCAGCAGCTGTCATCGCATCAGAAATCCGAAAAAGACACCAACATCGTCTTCCTCTTGATCTAACACATCCGGTAATGATTCCAAGTCACTGTCTTAAGGACATTCTAACTACCCCAGTGTCCCTTAAATGAGTGTTCGAACAGTTTTCATTCGGAGTTACAGTTGCATAATTTACGCCCGTCTTTGAGTTTGTGTGTAATCTTTCTTGATAGTGTATTTTTGACTTTTGGAGTAACTTTGTGAATTTTATGAACCTCTCCTGCATAATTTATCACCTTATCGGTGCATTATTCACTTTTATCCGGTTAAATTATTATATTTGATCTTGTTTCTTTTTCGTACAGATTGTAGTGAAGTTAATTTTTTTTACGTGTTTTGGGTCTTATTTATGATTTTCTTATAATTATCTTATTTATTTCATTGATGTATTGTCACGACGGGTCCGTTAGTGTTCCCTTTGACTATTTAAGTTTAATTCCAGTTTAATTCCAGTTTAATTCCATAGACATATGGCTATCAAATTTGTTCTTCCAATTCCGCTAATTCACTTGTTTCAAACATCGAGCGTTACCTTTATGTTAAATTTACGGGTTTTTTCAATGATAACCAGTTGCCAGACGTTCTTCTCAGGAGGAGCAAAGTGCAAAGAAACTGCCACAAACTGCTACAAACTACTACAAACTGGCACTAACTGCCACAAACTGCTACTAACTGCTGCAATCGCGCCCACGCGTTCGCGCGCCGTTTGCAGCAGCAGTTAGTAGCAGTTTGTGCCAGTTAGTGCCAGTTTGTAGCAGTTAGTAGCAGTTTGTAGCAGTTTGTGGCAGTTTCTTTGCACTTTGCTCCTCCCATGTGTCTTGCTGTCATTTTAAAACTGAAGTAGCTTATAACATGTTAGATGTCTGCGGAGAATTGATTAATTTGAAGACTTTCATTTTGAAAGTTCCCAATTTTGTTGCATGGAAGTGCTCGCTTTAATTCAGTCTAGTAATCAGCTTACCTCTGCCCAGTTTCTGAGAGCCAATATCGGGGTGTGATATTATAGTCTATATAAATTATCTGTTTAGGCTTGTATCATGTGTCTAGTATAGTTCGGAGACAAGTCCTCGAAGATGATTTCCACAAGCTGTTTTTCCACAACGCATCTATTAACTAGAGTTACCAAAGGGAACAGTCCTACTGTCCTAGGAGACCAAGTAAGGCTGGACATTTCTGCAAGATCGATTTGGAATGCTTCAGAGAGGGCATATTTTGATGTAAAGGTATTCCATGCCCCAGCCCCCTCCAATGCAAGCAAATCGATCCCAGCAATGTACCAGTCCCATGAAAATGAGAAAAGACGGTGTTACAATGCATGGGTTCTTGAAGTAGAGAAAGGAAGCTGTTAGTTTTCTCAACGTCTGGTGGAATGGGTGGTGAAGCTGAAAGACTAGTAGAGAGGCTGGCTAGTAAAATGGAATACCACACAGGGCAAAGGTATTCAGATGCCGTGGGATACATGAGGAAGCGCCTTCGTTTTAAAATCCTAAGAACAACAGTGATTTCTCTACAGGGAGACAGAGGTGCGAGAAAGAACTTTGTTAATATGAATAGTTTATAGATTTGAATTTGGAGCCACAAGGCCAAGGTTGATTTTCAAATGTTTCTCCCAATATTTGAGATAGGGAATGTATTGCTTTTTTGAAGGGTTGTTTTTATATAGGGTCATTGTGACAATTATGTGTATATTGTTTGAATAATTTATATTATATAATGTATATATATTTTTAAATTTATTAACGGGTGATACTCCTAAAATATTTGTTCCAAAAGACCGTTGGCGAGTCCAACTCTTCGCGCTCCTTGGTAGGTTATAAACCTACAACGCATCTAGGACCTAGGTGCACTGACATAAAGAGTATTTTAGTATACTCCAGTTCAGAAATGAACGTTGATATCACTTTTAAGGGTTTAACTGTCACGGCTGAATTCTTATTATCCACTATAATTACTGCTACGACACTGATATAAGAAGCTGACTCTTACCGTAATATAATCCACATCCTTGCTCTTTATATTTGTCCAATATGATTCCCAACTTGGTTTTCTGGGCCTTATTACTACATTGTCCAGTTATAGTGAAGAAATGCCTTGGATATCAGGGTTACTTTGAAGTTGATAAGGTTTTTTGTTACAATATTGTAAAAACCATACATCCAAACCTCTCAGATGCGAAGGCCTATTTGATCACATCCGTTTTTCTTTCAAAAGTGGGGAAGTTATCAGTTCGACACATTCTCGTAAATTTAATGTTGAACAGTGTTGACAGCATGTAGCACTTGATATAACTTCAACTTCTCAAGACCTTTTTTGAAGAAAACTTGATTATGGTATTTTGATGAAAATAAACATTTTTTCTTTCTAGTTAAGATGTTTTGAAAGAATTCTTACACTTTTGACAACCATTTCAGAAACACATGTTACAGCTGACCTTAGTCTAAGATGGGGAAGACAAGGGATGATGCTGATGATTCATGGAAGCCATACAAATGTGGAATCTGTGGAAAGTACTTCCTGTATGCAATGAATTTTAAAACACACGAAAGCAAACACAAGGAATGCCAGGACTGTAAAAAGCTTGATTCTATGCCTGCAAAATGCCCCCACGTCAAGTACAATTGTGTCTATTGTGACACAACATTTCTTGAGCATGCAGATTTCAAAAAATGCCAGGCTCAGCACAAAGCAAAGGTATGTACTCCTTATTGAAGATAAATTTTGTTCAAAATATTATAATGATGTAAATTGAAGATGAAATAAGATAACAACTGAACAACCAGTTACTGTTGGTTTAAATTAAATTTCATTTTAATTTCAAATCATTCAGTAAGAAAACAATTTGTACTTTCATCTGCTGAAAATATGATCATCTAATTCCCCAGCCAGAATGTCGGATTTGCAAGAAGACGTTTAGACAGCTTTACTCCCTGAAAATACACATGAACATTCATACCGGACGTAGACCTTATGTTTGTAACATATGTGGTTATTCTTGTCATTCCCCTCAGGTTACCTTTTTGATTTTTATTCTTAGACCTTACGTTAACATTTATTTATTGTATAGAAAGGCAAGGATTCTGACCTTATGACCTTTATCAAATTGTCTGTTGTGATTCGTGATCTAAATCTCTGATTACTTACATCACAGTCAATATCCTTTTCAGGTGCTTCGTCATCATGAACTGTTCAACCATGTGCCCTGCCAGACAGTCTCCCAACAATCCTAACTATTTTAGGTTACAGTAATTCCCCAAATCAGTTACTCAATGTGGCTACCACTCTTATTGTAGTGCTTCTTATGTTCAAATTGGTGACACATGCGTTGCCCATATTTTCAAATTAGGTTAGAATATTTAGCATTCAATTTTGACATACCCAGGTTCCAGATTTACCATCTAAGCAAATATTTTCCTTTGAATTTGAAATTATAACATAAAAACGTATCTTTGTCGACTTGGATCTATCATCGTTATCATAACTGCAATAGCGTAGAGTGCAGTTGGGTTTCAAGTTTTGTCGAGATGGCCATGTGGCCATAATCCTATTATTATTATTATTATAACATTAAGTTCAGATTGATATTTTATGAAATAGATGTTTTATCAAGATTCTAGAAGGTTTAATAGAAATGAACAGAATACTAAATATTGAGAGTAAACTAGCCTATATTTTGCTGATAATTTAGTTTAGATACTTATTATTGTAGCTCAAATTAATACCGATTTAAAAGACACTAAATCCTTCTTTATTAAAGTTTACTTAAATTCTAAAAATCTTTTTATGATAACTTATATGTGAGGGATAGGTTTTTGTCAATACTGTTGATTACAGGCTTCATATTTTAGTTTAGTGTATTGTTGCTTATACTAAATGAATATATTATCATGTTAACGTGATTTTTTGATCATTGTATTGCGCAGGATGCTTAAGCCAACTTTTGATATTTTTATATTGGGGTATATTTCTTGATATGTATGTTTAAGATTTTTACTAAATCTCAGAAAGTTTATACGTTATAAAAATGTTTTGTAAAACATCCTTTTATACTTTTGTTACATTGTTAAATTCTCCATTTTTAAGGTAAAGATGCTGCATGTGGATATGTAACTTTTATATTACTTGCACTTATATTATACAGTTGTGAATGGAAAGGTGAACCAACTTAATAGATTTCTTGTAAACTGTACTCCTGAATCCTTAGCTTAAATTAACCGCTAACTATAAAAAGGTTCATAGTGTAACACCACATCTTCTGAAAATCTTAAGGACAGACAGGAGTACAGTTTGAATAAGTTCCCATTCGACAACTGAGATACCTAGGGTTTTTATATGTTCATTTATTATGAATCCGCTGGTCAGAACAGCAAATAACATGGCTAAGAAATTAAAACTTTATTAAACTTTTTTATGATTTAGCAATTCTACTGCAGAGCATGAGGTTTTCAAATTCAGTGAGAGTACATTGTATATTATACATTGTATATTATACATTGTACATTATGCAATTAAAAAGGGCCCCCAGGAAGAGACGTTACGATGATTATGATAACCAAAAGAGCACATTGCACAATTTATATTAACATTCTAGGATACAATTTTGTTGTATTATATAACAAATAACGACTTGCGGACTAGCGTTACTTTGTCAGTAATCTTGAATTTTAGGCAATAAAATATTAGCAATATTACTGTATAGTTTTGGTATCGAACTAAGTGTGCTTTGTTATGACTTTGTCGAACATTGTAAGAGACTTGTAAGAGACTTCAATGTTTGACATGTGATGATTTTGTGTTGAAAAATTCGATATTTTCAACCCAAGATCCCTAAAGTTGATTAACAGGTGAACTGGTCATAGTGTTGACAACTATGGTATAAAAGAATCAGTTTTATAATCCTATAAAATTGTGAAACTTATACTTTTAAAAAATACTGAAACGTCCATCTAGTTACATTTTTTGAGATTTTGTGCAATATGGGACCAAATGCGAGGTCAGGAAATTGAAGCTGTAGTGTAGCTTTCTAATCTACGATAGCATGTTTTTAGTTATCAGCATCGGGAACTATCAGATTTGTACTCATTGATTTTATTACTTTGATCTAAATTTATTGAGTTTTACTAGCAAGAGTAATTATAGCCATTAATTTTTTGCAGTATTTGAGAAACTCTACAGGGATTGAGCTTATAACTGAACTATATTCTGGATACATGCTCCCCATCACTAAGACTATCAACTGATTAAGGTATCATTATGTATTACGTTTGTATGAGCGAAGTGTGTATCACATGGAACATGCCCATTTGTTGGCGTATAATGTATATTGGCCACCTATTTATATTGCTAGTGGAGTACCAGGAGTAGTGTTTTAAATGATATGACCGTAAATTTGTCGTATGTTAGCCGTTCAATAGCCGTATTTAATGTGCCAGTATAAGTAGCGATTCTTTTGAGTTATTCAGAAGTTTCAATATGTCTTATAAACAGTAAGTGAGAGTCAGCCCATGTATTGTAAGTGCAGCTATCATTTTCTTACATGGCAGTGTTGTTATCCGGGAAGGGGCTTTCTGTTCTACTATGATCAAATTCTATGGCTGGAATGTTGGTATAATTTCCACTTGAGTCGCTGAATCCTTCCTGGGATCCCATTTCTGACGCTGCAATTATGAATAGTTTCATAGCATTTATAATAGCTGCAACATTAATAATATCCACCTGCCACTTAGGTAACTTTTTAATAGGTAAATTGAACACATGAATAAGGTAATTGAGAAATAGATTAGTGCTCCTAAGTCAACCAAACTTCTGTCGAGTTTAATATATGACATTGTGCAAGAACTCAACCTGTATTGACACCGAGAATTAGTAGTATAGTTACCGAATTCTGCTTTAATACCAATCCTTTCGAATTTTTGTTGGTCGTTTAAGTGCTGGTTTTTGCTTCTCCTCGGCAGGGAGAGAGTGAGAAGTGACTCCTAGAAATGCCTGGCACGAGGAGCAGGGGTTAATTAAATCATACATTTGATAGATTGATCGATATGAGATCTTAGAAATTATTAGATACTGTTTTTTGTCGCTTAAATCTTATCTATAAAATTTCTATTTTCAGGTAGCATGTTTAATGTAACGTAAGTATAACGGTCTGGTGATAAGCAGTACTACTTGCTGGGTAAGAGAGCTCAATTATTTTGTTTTTCTTTCAAATTCTTTGTCAGGAGAGCCATCAACTATAAATTTATATTTTGGTGGATTTTTGAAGTGGATATGAGTGGGACCAATCAATACGTACATTGTACACAACATTGTACACTACATTGTACACTTGTACACTACATTGTACACTACATTGTACACTACATTGTACACTACATTGTACACTACATTGTACACTTCATTGTACACTACATTGCACACTACATTGTACACTACATTGTACACTACATTTTACACTTCATTGTACACTACATTGTACACTACATTGTACACTACATTTTACACTTCATTGTACACTACATTGTACACTACATTGTACACTACATTTTACACTACATTGTACACTACATTGTACACTACCTCTTCAGACGTATCACTGATTTAAACTTGACACAAGTCCACCCCATTAATAATCTCATTATAAAGTGCTTGATAGACCTCTAGTAAGGTAGAGGGAATGACAGTTCTCCCTAATTGACCAATTATAATGGTTTTAGTGTGAACTGATACCTGTTGTTTTTGTGCTTTGATAACAAATGTAACGCCTCGGAATTCTATTCACCAAGCCAGTGGCGTACGAAGTACTAACACATGCAACCCCTCACCGTATATAATATAGGAGTTTATTATTATTGTTTGCCCTTCAATTCACTTGGTTACTTGTGATTTGCAATGATAGCTCCGTATGTATATTGTTAGTACACAACCAAATTAAATCCTACATGCTCGTCAAAATATATTCCAGTTGCCACGTGGTCTATCGCCGCGTGTATTTTGTTGATATCACAGTTTAGTCGCTTATATCGAACCTGGCTGAGAACTTCTTTAAATCAGATCATTATCTTTTCATTATCTCATATCATTGTCTTGTTTTTGCCTTGCCCCTAATTTAACAAACTATCGTCTCTCACTCATGACACACATTCTCCGTCGCTCTACATGGTGTTAAGGTGCTTCATATGTCGAAGCTTGCTGACACTTGACAGAGTCTGATTGGTTGGTGGTTTTAAGTACATAGTATGTATACATAGTACATAGTATGTATAGTACTGTACTGTACATACGTTACTAACTTTCACCTCAACATAGAATCAATGAAGTTGTATTGCCACCGTGTGGTTTTATTAGTGTGTATGTTGCCTGTTGGTGCTGTGTACAAGAATCTAAGTGTTAAATATTGTTAAGTTCCGACTGAGTTGATTGGCTCAGTGTAGGTGTACTGTTAACTGCCTTTATCCAGTATAATTGTTACCAGTCCTTTCATCTGGTGACCCACTACACATTGCTAGAGTCTTTCCTATTTCTCCGTTTTGCAGTAGCGCGCGAATCAAGAGTTTGTGTCGAAATTATATTTATTTCTACGGCACGTGCCATGCGCGCGTAACGTATATTATATATATTATATATATACGACTAGCTAGCTGTCCGGCCTGGCCTAGCTCTTCATCTACACAATGATCCATGCTCATGAATCAACTAGCCCATTGAACGGATATTATATCTTCCCTTATCTAGAGATAACGACGATTTTACATCATCCCTAAATACTGTATTAATTAGCCACCTTTTTGTCTGAAAATGTAATTATTTTTGATTTGGAGTATGTTAATTGTGACGATTTAATGTCCGTTGACACATGGCGCCCTTATCATCTCGGAAATTTATTAGAGCTATCACACCGTTTTTCTACATATCACTATTAATGAAAATGACTTCCTCACCAGATCTTTGTTATAGTCAAGCAGTTGTCTTGAATGATGAAGAGGGGATAAAACCAGAGTCAAACTAGATTTTGAACACTCAACAATCAGAGAAAACAGGGAATTTGGGCCCGATATTGCACGCTGTTTATACTCCTCATTGAGAACTGATGCTGTGCAGTGTGCAGCCAGGGCATGAATTGTCTAAACCGGATCAAAATGTCCCCATCTCACTGCAGTCTACACACATTCACTCAATAAATGCTGAAATGTTCAAATAAATAGATTCGTAACTTAATTTAATTAGTTTATACGTGAATATTTCAACAGAAATTCGGAGAAACTTAACTGCCTTGTACAGAAGAAGTCCGACTAATACATTTGTTACATATGAAGTAAATCTGTTATTTGATTGCACCTCTAAAATTCCCTTCCAAAACTAGGAGATGCTAATTAGTCTTTCTCCGTTCGGTAACCTGTCTCGTTTCGTGAGACAAGGTAACAGAGTACACGAGACAGTACTACTCCTTATCGACGGAGACTCCATACCCTGTAGCGGCACTATACTCGCAGCCAGGAGCTCTGTGTTTGAGACTCTGGTTAGGGAGAACTATGAGGTCCATCTTCTCGGTTTTAACGGCATGGCTCACCAAATTAGTCAGGTAATTATAGATTGAAAAAAATTCTAGCTATAGTTTTCAGTTTATTTAAGTGAATCTGTTTTCTTGATTCTTTATGATCTGATGTTCATTTTGAGATTTTCGTGAACTGATTGTGACAGTCCTTGCGTTGATTTTTAATAAAACGTCATGTAAAATATTTCAGTGCCTAGAGTTGATGTACGGAGGACAAATTATGCTGGATTCCAGCAACATACAAGCATTTCTGAATTTCAGTGTTCAGTTTGAGATTAACGAGCTGATAAATTTATGTGCTGTTTGGATGGAAAACAACAATTTATACCTGGAGTCTGAAAAAATACTGAACGAGCAAGATAGATCTAAATGTATCGACATGATAAGTTGCATAAACTTCAAAAAGATCTCTGAAAATAAAAACTCTATGATGAATCAAAGTATCTCATCTGATGAAGAGGAATACATTGATCTAGAGGAGATTTGTTCCTCATTTACAGACACCACTATTGAGACTCACCACACAAACGGACATACTTCCACTATTGTGTCGTCTAAAGGTCGAGGGAGACTTGCTGCAGAGCTGTCATCACTAGCATCGCCATCCTCTACTGCAACAGTTACTACAGTGCCCGCATCAACCAACAGCCATGACACTGATAGCCAGCAAACTGAACCCTCACCGGGGTCTAACATCCGGGACGGGCCAGGAGAGTGGCAGAAAGTACCAGTTCCACAGACGAAAATTAAAACCGAACTGATTCTCAAAAACCCAGTAACCCAGTACAAACCAAACCTTGCGAAGTGGCCTCATTTCTCACCGGAAGATTTTCTCAGGCTAGGAAGCCCGCTCTGCCCATACCCTGAATTCGCTAAACTAGAGGTAGGGATAGCGTGGCTAGCCAACAGTGAGCTCAACATTCCTCAATGTCAGAACTTGATGGATCAGTTCATGGCCAACATTGATCCTCTAGATTTATCGGACCGATACATATCACTCCTGAACGACTATATGAATTCTTGGAATGTATCATTTCCCCCTCACTTCAAAAAACATATCAAGAATTGCTACGTTCCTGATGATCCTGCATCTGATTCAAAGTACTTCATGCACCTGTGGACCCTGCAGAAAGGGGATCTAGCAGAGTTGAGGAGTTTTAATTTCGTCAGTTTCTTTGCTACATGTCCTCTGTGCGACAAAGGAACAGGAGAAAATGTTCTGAAACTGGTCCAACAAACTCCTTGCTACGACCTAAAGATTGACCAGTATCGTCGGAAGAAACCCAAAAATGGTATTATTTATCCGGTCCACTTCCATTCTAACTCAGTGTTCCACTGGCTGATAAAGACTGGCAGTGGAAATAGACCGGTACTTCACTCCCTCATTACAAATAACCTCCAGACAGTGCTGGATACCCTGAAAAAGCACGATAAGCTTATCGTGATCTGTCTTCAACTTAAAACTTAATGATGTGGAAAGAGTACAGTTGAGTTAACCTGATGAAAAAGATTATGCTTACCTGTGTGGTAATTCAAGCTTGGATAATGGATACGGGAATTATTTGAAAATTTGAATCGATATGTTGTTGAAAATGCTGAAAATGAAAATTGGCTATTAAGATATTTGTAAATTTCAGACTTCGTTATGTTAATGGAAAATGGAATTAATTGATGAATCATGCTTGCACAACACTGATGACCCTCATTTTTATAACAGGATTTTTCATTTTACATCAGTGCTTTCAAATATACTTGGTCTCTGAGATTTATATGATCTCTGAGTTCAGCTTCATTGGACAGCACTATAATGGGTATATTTTATTTGCTGGGTTGATTGCGAGTACATTAACTAAGATTAAAAATTAAACTCATGTTCATAACTTCATGTTTTTGAACATTTTATCCGTTACCTTACTTTTATTTTCCGTGACTAATAAAAGTCCGGTTTAAGATTATTTGAGTTCTATCACTCAGAAGATGCTTGTATTTACTGTTAATTTGTAGTGTGATTGAATCCTAATTTATATTTTTAGATCTAGTGCAATCCGTCATTTATAAATTTATATTTAAAACTCCTATGTTTTATCGCTCATCAAGGATTTAAGTCAGCGGGGCCAATAGCATCAGTAATAGATATTGGATAGTAGAAATGTATAAAGTAAGTAACGTCTCTCACACACGTCTTATCTCCACTAGTGCTTCTTTTGTGCTGCCTTTTGACAAGCTTCCTTCTCTCTTGTCTTCAGACTAGCAGTGGATCAAGTTCCGGGGGGGGGGGGGGGGGGGGCAGTTTCATAGCAACCACACAGTTTGCAGGTCCCGAGGGGGTCCACACTCCACAGTTCTATGTTACTAGCAGTCACTAGTTAGATAGTTATCAAGTGGAACTTGAGAAGGGCAGGGCCAGGGATAAGCTTTTTATATAGTAAGTTGTTCCAGCGTATATGATATGAAGAAAGACAAAAACTAGGGGAAAATAATTTACTTGGCTTTGGTTCGCTTTTTTTTAAATTTATTGAAAACTATATTTTGTATGGAACCTTTGATTGTTAAACTTTTTATTGATAATTATCCGAACTGAAGTAACAAGATATTGAATACTAGCATTGGCATGTGAAAATTGTCGAATTTACTAAGTTAATAGTTTTGTGTACCATGAATATGTGATTGTGGCCCTCGTTTTGGTAAATTTTTTATCGTCAAATTTTTACGCTTATCCTGCTGTTTTCGTTCATCTCCCTGAAAATCAATCTTATTCTTGAAAATATTCCAGGAGTAAAAACATTATTTAATTTGATTGCAATTATTAACAGTAATCTCTGTTAAACCAACTTTATAGTTATAATTTATAATTCAAATACAACAAAATAATTAAAACGAAGTCTCTGATCAGGTAGATGGCAGTTTTAGATGTTGTAGAAAAGGAACTGTCTTGGAACGATTTCCATCACCCTCTCTTTGACATTGTAAATACAGCCGAAGAGGATGAGACGCAGCCCTCAATACACGTGCTGAACGAGGAATGTCTCGACTTGATTCTATCCTACTTTAATACCCTGGAGCAGTTTAGACTTGGGATTGTTTGCAGAAGATGGTATAATCTGTGCCTGTCTAAAATATCCAGGATAAGTTATCTCCCTGTCAGAAAACTCGGAGAAGACAGCCGGACTGTATAGAAAGCTTTAATGGTATGAATATGAGTGATTTAAATATTGACCAAATTCGTGAGATGTTGTCACCCAAAACTGAGACAAAGTTGAGTGTGAGTAACATTATGTCGGTGGTTTCAATCAATTGTGGGACTCTGTCCACGGTTGCCCTGGAAAACACCGATGGGCTGAATGCTGAAAGTTTGTCCAGTTTAGCTAGCATGATGCCGAATCTTTTGGAATTAAAGCTCGATAAGGGTATGGAAATGAGTGAAGGCTCGTGCGAAATCATGGCTGAAAAGATTATTCCAAAGTTGAAAGCTCTATCTTTCTTCTTAGAGTCATTCCCTGAAAAGATCAATCTTCGCAAAATGCTCAGTAGTGCTAGAAGATTGAGATACCTAAGTTTGGAAGAGTGTCGGAAAGAAGAAGTTGAGGAAGATGATACAAGGGAGGAAGATGGGCCCGGTCTTCTCGAGGCTCTCTCTCCTTCTAATCCCATTGTCTGTTGCTCTTTCTACAGATACGTTAACATACAACCCAAATCTCTAGAATACGTATTCAGGAATTTCTCTGAAACTTTGGAGTATTTGAATCTGTCGGGGACAAATCTAGAAGGGCTTACCAATATGCAAACCTATAATCTACCTAAGCTTAACAAAATGAAAGTATTCCTAGCTTCTCTTTCTGTCCGCCCTCGCGAGGATGATCTGGAAGAATTGCCTCTAGCTCGTCATACCCCGTGCTCTCGACAACTAACTGAACTTTTGATGCTAATGCCAAATCTTATAGTTCTCGATCTGTCTTATAACTATCATCTTAGATTCAATGGAGTCGACATAGTACGCCTTTTATCAGAGCATTGCCCACTACTTGAAGAATTGCACTTAACAAAATGTGCAGTTCCCGCCCAGAAGCTAGCTGCTCTTACCGAGCTGAAGTTTCTTAAAAGGCTTTTCCTCGGCGTGGTTTACAACAATCATAGTCGGGTCGATGAAGAGAACAATTTGGTTGATTGTTTCAGTTTTATATCCCGCCGAGTCATTCCTCACATGAAAAATTTGGAAGAATTATCGATAGAGGAGCCCAGATACGCCTTCTCTGTTGACGACATCGTTACTTTTATTGATCACGCAGGACCTAATTTCAAAACTCTGACCTTAAGTACGTTGTATGATATGATAAAGGCTGTTCAAAGCGGTTTTGATCAAAGGCACAATTTCATTGAAGAGGCTGCAAGAAAGTGTAAAGAAAGTTGTAGAGATAGAAACAATGTGATCACCCTGTTGGTAAATGGGATAAGAATGATGCACAAAAACTTGTGTAATTCGTTAGAAATTAGAAACAATTGTGATTGTTGGAAACTTAATTTCGATGACATTGCTCCGAAATTTCTTAAAATTAAGAATCTAGAGTTTGATCTTGAACTTGGCTACAAAGATTTCTACCCTAGTAGCATTTCACATCGGGGTGTAATCAATATTGACTACGAGCTTTTGAAACTGCCTAGGTTTGTAACCAATATGTAATATGTGTGCAAATGTGGTTATATACGTACAGTGCAGCCTGGTATTTTCATGTTTGACTGCTGAAACCATTGGTGCAATGTGATTTAACCGTACGACGCGATAATATCCAGTATTTCATATCACACGTGATATCCATATCTTCTATCAACCATGAATCTGTCACCTGATGAAACAGTTTGATTAATATGGCATGAGCTGATGCCTGAGGGGCTTATGTGGTATTTTAGGTTTATTGTAAGTTCATTTTAGATGTACTACAATTTAATTAGAAATTAATTATATGATATTTTAAGTGTATGATTTATCTTTATTTTATGTGTACAATTGCAGAAATTAAGGGGGGGGGTCAATGGGTATTTTTTTGTGAAACTTGATTTCGAGATAGTAGTTGACCAACAAACTAGGACCAGTGACCGAACTTTTGAGGGGGTCCCGGACCCCAACCGCCAAACGGTGCGCGCAGGGCAGCCACGCCCATATTTGGTCCAAATTAGGCCCAATTTAGCCAAATACCCTGAACATGCCCAAAACCCAGGTTTATGGTGCTCTACTTGTAGCTAGTGGTCTCCTGAACTCGTATATGAAATTTCATCAAGATTGGACAAAAAATGACTGAGTTATGAGCCAAAAACCATATGCCCATATTTGGGCATACGCACCAAATTTGGTAGATTTCGTCCCATAAATTGGTCAAATATCAATATTTTTGGATGAGACTTACTTTATATGAAAGGTAAGCCTAAACTACATATTCTCTGTAAGTTATAGCTTTATATCTGTTTAAATGTGGATACTAAGGCTTTTTACGGATTTTTGATTTAGGCCTCAAAAAAAATTTGGCGGTTAAATTCTGAATTTCTGTAATATAATTTTGGAATTTGGCCGCCAAATTTTTTTTGAGGCCTAAATCAAAAGTCCGTTCTTAAAATAAGGTCGAAATGCGATTTCGAGTCGATTCCAAAAATTTCATGCAAAAATTTTGAAAACTGATTGAGTTGTTACAATTTTGGTGAGATCAATTCCGCGAATATCGCGAACCGAGATATGGGCAATTTAGTTCATTTTTTGTGGTTTTTTCGCCTTAGTATCCACATTTAAACAGATATAAAGCTATAAATTACAGAGAATATGTAGTTTAGGCTTACCTTTCATATAAAGTAAGTTTCATTCAAAAATATTGATATTTGACCAATTTATGGGACGAAATCTACCAAATTTGGTGCGTATGCCCAAATATGGGCATATGGTTTTTGGCTCATAACTCAGTCATTTTTTGTCCAATCTTGATGAAATTTCATATACGAGTTCAGGAGACCACTAGCTACAAGTAGAGCACCATAAACCTGGGTTTGGGGCATGTACAGGGTATTTGGCTAAATTGGGCCTAATTTGGACCAAATATGGGCGTGGCTGCCCTGCGCGCACCGTTTGGCGGTTGGGGTCCGGGACCCCCTCAAAAGTTCGGTCACTGGTCCTAGTTTGTTGGTCAACTGCTATCTCGAAATCAAGTTTCACAAAAAAATACCCATTGGCCCCCCCCCCTTAACGCAGCATAACCGTGGCCGCAACTTTTCAACTTCGATGGCGAAATATAATGACTGTACATATTATTACAAATATAATTAGCCAATTTTATGACAGAATTTCATTTAATTTATTTCAACATTGCTTTAGTATTTAGTAATAACATGGTGCCGAATCATTTTTGCATTGTATGGCTGGGTCATATTTTGTTGTTTAATAACTTCATTTTTTTTCTGTATTAAAACGCGATAATATTTAAAACGTAAATACTAATATAATTGTAACTTATAACTAGAATTTAAAAATTTAAAAAATCTATGTTTAATACTCTGAACCCACAAGTTCAGCTTATTATTATCTTAATCTATTATTACTGGTTTTCTTTATCTCTCTGCGTTATTGGTACGACATTTCTAGTTATGGCAATGGCATAAAATGGAAATTACTCAAGGGTTTTTCCATTTTCTCCATAGAAAAAGTCTCCATTTTATGCAATTTAAAAACTTAAAAATTTTAAAAACCCAATTTCTTACAATATTTTGACCTTAAAGGACGAAATAATTTAAATACAATATTCATCTAGAATCTAAATATCATTTCAAACACCAAAAAGACAATTTTTGCCCTTTTATTGTATTTCGACCTTCAACAATTTTCCAGCTCGAACACAAGGGTCCCCCCTTGTATAAAATTTGTAAAAATTGTAAAATAATTCGTTTTTCAAATATCATAATTTAGTACAAATATTATAATTTTGGTACTAAACGTTTTGCCTTTCCAAGCTGAAAACAATTCTGAAAAATATTTCCGAGATTTATAAGTTTTCTATCCCAATTTCGAAGTCCCCACATCACCCTCTATATATGATCTTGGAGTCGAGGCTTCCCCTTTTTTTAAGCTGTATTAATTCAGTGAATCGAAAAGAGAGAGCCAAAAAATCGGGTATATTTTTTTTGAGCGTATTAATATAGTGAAAAATTGGCCATGGAACTAATGCAATCTCGAAGGGCAGGCCTCCCATATGCAATACGAGCTCAGAAGTGGTGAGTCTGCCTTTAGAGGCACGTATCAATCGAATTAAACTTGGGCCGAAAATTTTCTAAGTCAAAGATAATTAAGGTTTTCTTGGAAACCACTTTTGACTTTTGCCTACAGTTCATGTTACCCTAATCATTATGAGCCGACGTGGCTTTCGCCAGGATACTGGGGGCCATAGTGGGGGTAAGTGAAATGAAAATGAGGGTCACGACGCGTGATACAACGATATACGATATTGGAATCGAGGCTTACCCTTTGTAATGTGATCTCGGACGGCAGGCCTGAGGCCTCCCCTATGCAATACGAGTTCGGAAGCGGGAGCCCTGCCTGTATCCTCAAACACTGGCATAATTTCATAGTTAATGACTTCATGTAATTATAGTGTGTGTTTGGCCTCCTTCTAATTCTTTATGCATGTTACCTTTTGCGAGAGATATTTCTTTGGTTTTATCGGAATAGTTTTATTTACGTTAAAGGACCAGTTAACTGAAAAATTTGTAGTCTCCAATTTGGCTAAGATTTAAATCAGCTGTGACAAACTGGTAAAGAATCGTATCGCCGAAAGAACCAATTCTCTAGCGTACGTGTAACGCGTGTTATTGCAATAATAAGCTGTGGCCTCGTGACGTCATAAAGTCCCTCAGTGCGCGCTTGCATAGCGTAATACATTGCAAATGTTTATCATCGTCAATAAAACACGTTTAACTCACTCAAATTTTAGAATTATGACTATTACCCTAGTTCTCCAAAATCCTTATAGTTTTGGCTATCATCCTAACTAAATGAATAGCTGATTGGACGTACAGTGCTAACGTCATGATTTTAAACAGTGGTATAGGTTCTTGAACAGTGGCGGGTGAATGTACGGTTAGAAAGTTTCTGCTATTACAACTTATAATTATGATTATGTCATATGTGATAATTTTGGATTGTTTTCATTGCTTAATTACACAAGCAGGGAGACTGTACCGATTATTTTTCCCCAGTCCATGAAACTCTAATGAATTTAGAAAGGATCTAGATAAGTAGGAGTTTGTTAAATCCCGAGAGCAATTATATTTATATCATAGCGAAATTTCTAACTTTAATCCGTATGTGTCAGCCAGTACAGGAGACAAGAAGTCTGGCTACTTTACGGCCGTTCCTCTGGGACCATTAGTAGAAGTAGCTTCTATCATAACACTGCCGTGGGAACAGAATTCCCGCCAAAATACCCGGTCTACCAAATAGTAATACTGATCGGAGTGTACGGTGTGCGGTGTGTTTTGAATTAGACTTACGGCTTACCTAGTTGTTATCCTAATTGCATTATCATCGGTACATATAATAAATAAACTACTGGTAAGTTTAAATACCAAGTGCAAACGTGTTCAGTCAATCGACCCACTGAAAAACTATAGGATTTCCAAGACCCTATTATTCTCTGGCCATATATTACGGCACGATCGATTGTTAGATGGCTAAACGACCAACGTTAATCTATACAATTCTAAAACTATGAGCTAGCACTTTAATCTAAAAATACACTTTTTATATTACTACTGATTTTTACATTTCACGTAAAACATTGTCGCCACAGGTTGATTATGGACACTAACAGCTTAATTTGAGATAAATGACTTATGAGTTTCTCTAAAGTTAACTCTAAAGTTGTGTAGTCCAGTCATTTATGGACATTTATGGAAATGATCCTGCAAATGTTCAAATACTCACGAAACTTTGCACAGACCTTCCTGAAGGTATGAATAAACGATTTTCGTTTGGAGACATTTTTTGACCGTAGAGAAAACCCAGGAGGGCCACGCCCATATTGACCAAATAACGTAACCGACCCCTTGCTTCTGAAGGTCGTAGAGACTTTAAAATAGGCTTAAACGAAGCGGCATATGCATGTTTATATAGGAGTTACTGAGCAACACATGGCCTAAAATCCTTACTTTCCGAGAACTTTGCCAAAAACCATTTTGGGCGGGGTGCTGAGCCCATTTTCGATAGGATCGTGATAGAGTCTTTAGACAGGGTGCAAAAGAACCGCAATTAGCATATTAATATATGACTTACGAACAAACATATGCCTTAAAGTGCTTACTTTTTCAGTTATTGGCGAAAAACTGATTTCCGGTTCCAGAAATCATGCAAAAATATGGGTAGCTCGTTAATTGGGCTATGAAGGCCCTACAGATTTTTGAATGAGTGCAAATTGTGCAGAATGGCCATGTTTATATACAACTTATGAAGCAACATGTACCCTAAAATACTTACTTTTCGAGTTATTTGGGGGAGAAACATTGTATTATGTCCATTTTCTACCTGTAAAATACAGTCTCACGAGCTCATCTGTGCGCGCAAGGGACTTTATGACGTCATCGCCAAAATAATACAAACGCTAATTACACGCGTTAGAGAGCAGTTAGAGATTTAGGAATTTCGACTCGTTGCTTAGTTTGCTATTTGTCACAATCTGTCAAAATATGAGGATAACTTTTTTTTCAGTTAACTGGTCCTTTAACCTCTCTTTCACACTTCACAGTTTAATAAGCTTTCAAGCAGTACACTATTTTGTTTTCTATATTCTATCAAACTTTTACTTAAGTCTAGTTATACATTACTTTATCATATTTTATTGATCTAAGGTGTAGTATTGCCAATTCCAGTTCAATTTGTAACGGAGTTTTATATTAACAGGAAACCTGGAAACGATGTAACAGAGTCAATATATTTTAATGTTGCCATGGGGTGACAAGTCCCCATACGTCGTAGTTATAATCCGATAGTTTCATTGCGTCATAATATACGATATTGGAATTGAGGCTTACCTTTGTAATACGAGTTCGGAAGCGGGAGCCCTTCCCTCAGAGGTTAATGTATTGAGGATGACTCGGACCGAAAATTTTTAAAGTCAAAACCTTTTCAAAGTTTTTCTGGAAACTACTTTAGTTCACGTTTCATGCTACCCTGATCATTATTAGCCGAAAATATTTGTTCTATTTTTGAATTTCGGACCTACCCTTCGATATACGATTTTGAACTCGAGGGTTCCCCCTTGCAATGCGATCTCGGAAGGCAGGCCTCCCCTTTGCAGTGCGAGCTCGGAAGCGGGAGCTCTGCCTTCAGAGGTACTTATCGAGGATTACTGGGACCGAAAATTGTCTAAGTCAAACATTTAAAAGTTTTCCGCGAAATTACTTTTCTCCAGTGTTCGTGTTTCTCTGATTATTATGAGCCGAAAATATTTTTCGGGACCTAGCCCTCGAGAATTTTTCCTGAAAATTAATGAAATTTCTGATCAATATCCGTCCAAGCACCTTCTTTACTACTTACTATAGCCGGGTATCCGATCGATTTCTAAATTGTATCACTATCAGAGTGAAATTGAGTGGAATTTGAATTGCAAAATCTATTCGAATTGATCTTGGCCTCTAGTAGCCTGGTATGTGTCTCGAGTAGCCTGGTATGAGCCTCTAGTAGCTTGGTATGAGCTTTGAGTTGCCTGGTATGCGAAAATAAACATGTTAAAAAACACTATCAATTATCTTGTGCGTATTAATGTTAATTTCATGGTATGATTTAAGTAAACCATCAGATTATTTTCCTTAAAATGATACCCCTACTCTGTTATAAGTTGAATCCTCTAAATCCAGGGCAATGTTGATAACCCTATCTCCACTTGGTAACCTGTCCCGGTACATCCGCCATCTTGACAAAGTTCCAGTCCACGAGACAGCACTACTTCTTATTGATGGTAACTCAGTGTGTTGTAGCGGCGCTATTCTAGCTGCTCGTAGTCCTGTTTTAGAGAAGGTACTGAAACAGAACTATGAGATTGTGTTGGACGGGTTTCAGGACATGATCCCACAATTAAACCAGGTAATTGCCATCCTTCTCAACCAGATTCTGTCCAATGTTTCTATAGCTGATTTCTTTTTTCAATCTATGAGCATGGGTAGTTTATAAGTATACTCTTTTAATCGTTTGCAACCTTCTTTTATTTGTTAGCCCTTGGCCTTATTAATATATTTTATTGTGGGTACTACTCAGTAGAGTGGGTATTTGTGGGCTATCTTATTATTACAGTCTCTTTATTTTCAGTGTCTAGAAGTGCTCTATGGAGGGGCCGTGTCCATGACTCACGACAACGTTATCGCCTTCCTAAAGTTCGGAATTACATTCCAGATTGATGAGCTTGTTAGCCCCTGCTGCGTGTGGCTGCAGGAAAAGGGTCTTTACCAAGAGATTGGGCTGCTCCTTGTCCATGACATTGAGAAAAGATTGAAATTGTTGGACAAACTAGTCCCTAGAGTACGTCAGCACTCAGCCGGGTCCGCTGGCTCATCTCTCTCTAGTCGGTCTGGTAGTCAGGAATATGATCCTCCCTCACCTGATCCTTGTTCCCCAGACCCTGACTGTTCACCTCCTTTCTCCAGTCTACTCTCTCCACTGCATCTCTTAGATCATCCTGTTTTGAACGAGGAGCGATGGTCTAAAGCTCCTAAATTAAATCTGGGTTCCTCCAGTTCATCCACACGTCCAAAAGTATCGGGAGATGCGTGTCTCGTTCCTCTGATGAGTAAAATGAGAAGCGATGATGACAAAGAATGGAAACCAAACTCACGGCCTCTAAAGGGAAGAATTGGCTTTAAAAGTAGTCATGATGAAAACAGAGAAGAGAAGGGGCGATACCAGATTCTATAGGACAGTCCCTCAACAGCCTCGAATCCTTCGACAAGTTCCCTGCTTTGCAGAAAGGGTGGAAGATGGCTCCGACCAAAAAGAAGAATAAGCCTGCCCCTCCAAAGCTGGCTTCTGTTGTGGTGAACCCTGCTGCACAGTCCTATCCTAACCTGAGCCAGTGGGCAGAGTTCTCGTTATCTGATATTGAGGGTTTGTGTAGCTCTAAGTGCGTGTACCCAGAGTTCGTTAAGTTGGAAGTGGTAATTGGTTGGGTTACTGGCAGTAAAAACACTATATCTGGTTCTTGGCAAGGTCTTCTTAACCAGCTCCTGATAGATATGGATCCTCTTCAGTTGTCAGACAGATATTTGTCTATGATTGAGGAGCATTTGTCGAAATCATTTGGCTTGAACTTGCCACGAAATTTTGCCAACAATATCGGGAACCCGTACGATGACGAGAAGCCCGGATCAGTGTCAAAGTTTACTGCCCTGCAGTGGTCTGTCTCCCTCCCAGATGATTTAAGCAAGATCCGCTCCCAGAACTACTTGAGCTTCTTCGCCAATTGTGAGTTGTGCCAGAAAAAGGGTAAACAAGAGGTGGTCCTGAGACTGGTCAACAAGACCCCTTGCTACGACCTCAAGACAGAGAGTTTTAGGAAGGTTGTTCCCCGACCTGGGTTGAGGTTACCTGAACATTACCACTCCAACTCTGTCTTCCACTGGTTCATACGGGTCAAAACCAGCATGAGGTTCACTGCGTTAGTGTCCCTAATCACCACCGACTTCAAGGATATAGTTACGCTAGTTAAGATAGACAACAAATTCAAGGTTGTTTGTTTGCAGATCAACAAGTAATTCCGATCAATGAATCATTGAATGATTATCTGTCAGGACACTATCAATCTTACCACGTCAGCAGCTATTTTTAACCATGACAATGCAATTAATGTTAATGCTATAATTAGCGAGTTTTAAAGTTTTTATCAATTTTGTTATTTTATCAAATTAATCACACGTCCCCCATTGTGGAGTGCTTTATAAGCATTTATTTAAATTGTTCAAAGCTTCATTTCGCCATTGATGACTCGATGCTTTATTGGCATTTTATCGCATGCTAATTAATCTTATTCAGCTTTCTGATATTTACATTCTATGACACCAACCACCAACGAGTGAATTAAATCAATTTATCAATAGTGTTACCCCTTTTATACTTACCTTACTCTTAGCGTTCTCGGTCTTCTAATTTTTAACCAAGGTAACCGTTTTTTAATGAAAGCACATGCTATTTTGAATTTTGTTTTTTAATCAAATAAAGGAACACTTATCGAATAAATTTCTATTCAGTTGTTTCAGAATTGAAATCTTATTTTATCGTTTGAATTTTAATCAGTTACTTCAACTAACAAAATATTAAATTTTGACCTTATTTTTATTATGTTATTCCATATTCCGAATAAAATAAACTTTTTTTCAAATACAATAATTGTCTTCGTTTTAATTTGACCAAGTAAGGAGACATTGTTGTACTGTTAGTGTTAATGAACTGACCCGGCGCGCGCTACTTTGCAGCACTTGCCTCGGGCAGTAATATTTCGAGAATAAAGCAGACGAGCGTGCTAAAACTAAATCACTCTACAGTCGATCTTCGAGATTGTTCTAAAAGGGCCCCGACAGTTGTAATCAGCTTCAATCGATGTATTTTCGGACGTTGATTCTGAATCACCTCCATGACATAGGGGTAAAATGCTCCCCTGACGAGATATTGGCGAAAAACTGTCTCGATCACGTGATATGACTGTATAAGGAAGTTATTCTAATTTCTCGTTAGGGTTAGGGTTTCAGCATATGCTTTTGCTAAGGATTGAGTTAGGGTTGGGATCAGATTAGAGGGTCAGGGTTTCGAATAGTCGTTCAGGACCAGCTCTAGAGAACGGGTTGAAAAAGTCACGTGACAGTCGAGTGTAGAGTGATTAATCATCATCTAGAATAGAAATGAGAATTGAGAAAGCGGAGGTCGCTACTTCGAAGAAATTTAGACGAGAATACGTCTACTCACTCTACACTCGACTGTCGACTGTCAACTAACTTTTTAACACGTTCTCTAGAGTATAGGTGGCCCTGAATGACTATTCGAAACTTTAAGTCTAACCCTCTACTTTGAACCCAATCCCTTTAATTGATAATAACTGAAGCATGTGCTAGAATTAAAACCCTAATTCTAATTCAATGGTCATACTCATATCACGTGATCGAGACAATTTTTCGCCAGGGGGGCATTTTAACCCTATACTATGTCATTCGGAATCAGCGTTTGAAAATATATCGATTCAAGCCGATTTCTATTAACATATATACTAGGCCGATCCTACTAAATCGCTCGCCCAAATTTTAAGAAAATTCTTGTAAAAAGGCCCTTTGGGCATGAAAGTGATCGGAATCGGTGTATTTTTGGACGCTGATGCCGAATCACCCCCCATGACGTAGGGTTAAAATGCTTCCCTGGAGAGTTATGGGCAAAAAAACCGTTTTGGTCACGTGACAGGCTAGTAAAACATGAATTCGATTGTTTAGGGCTCGGGTTAGGGTTAGGGTTGACGGATGTTACTCGTCTAAATTTCTTCGAAGTAGCGCGCGCCGCTTTCTTCCCGATGGCACGAGCTACGAAGTAGCGCGCGCCGGGCCAGATCATTAACAATGGTCAAGGGTTAGGGTTGTGGTAAGGGTTATGGTTAGCTTCGGGGTTATGTTAGGGTTAGGGTTGGAATTAGGGTTTATGTAAAACCGTTTTGTACGGCTGCAAAACCATAAAAACCAAAGTCACGTGAAATTTTTGGGCGAGCGAATTAGTAAGAGCCATACTGCACACTAGGCCGTGCGCAATCGACCGTAAGACGCGCGCTGACCATTGAATCATGAATGGTTTTTAGCTCGTATACGTATTTCGGCCAGAACATTATTTCGGAAACAATCAAAAAGTTTTAATACTTCCCATTTAACAATTTTGTTGAAATTTGGTCGGCTTATGTAAACACTCATGTTTTAGTTTTTACTGAACCTAAATTAGCGCGGCGAAACTCACTGATCATTCCCAATTCCAAAAAGGTACGTACCTGACAAATTTGGTACTGTGAAAATTCTCACAGTCTCTAGAAAACAATGATACACAATTTTTAAAAATCCGAGCAATTAGTTTATTTTTATCGTGCATCCCCTAAATATACTGTTGGAGTTTTTTTTTTTTTGTCGATGGGCGCTCACTCTACCTCCCCGGGTTTGCGGGGAGGCTACGTCCGCCTTGTGGCTAACGTCTCTTGGAGCTCCTTTGGTTGCGGAGGTGTACCGAAAGCTCGGCTGGGATGGGACTCGCTGAGCCGGCACGAACCAAATGGACATAACATTGCTGTTATGACCCGGTGGAACGGCGATACCCCTAAGAGTATCTGCCATATGTTCCGTCATCGGGGGACTTTCTGAGTCCATAGAAAGTCAACTGTCGAAACAGCCTCCCGGAAAATTGGGTTTGATAATGCGAGAAACTACCACTTCCACTGTTATCTGGCTAACAGCTCCGCTAGGTGTTTCTCGATATTTACTGTGCTTGAAGTTTGTTGATTTTTTTCCACTGCGGGGTTAAGTGTAAGATGGGGTTATTCATTTCGTCTTACACGGAGTGTGGATGTATAGATCAAATCGCTTGAGCGTGTGCTAATGTTATGTTATCTGTCTGTAGTTGTCTCGTGTTGATCTCGTGATTTGTTTGGTCGCGCGCATCAGTTTGGTGATACATTTGTGGCTTTCTTTACTATGTATGTCTTTGTCCGCGCGTTCCGTTTTTTCGGTAGACCCCTTTTGCCGTTCTCTCTGTTTATGTGACGAGCTATATGTTTTGGCATATTTGTGGGTTTTAGGTACCATTTGTCCATGGCTGGGTCGTTTTGATATTCTACTGTCCGTAGCGGAAAGGAGCTTGCCGGGCTCCTGTGTGAGTGAGGTGGAGTGGAGAGAGGCCAGGTATGTGCTGGTATTTGATCTGATCCAGCCAGACGACGTTTAGCCTGCCGGACAATGATGGGCAGTTACCATCCCCTACCAACGTGGAGGTCACTCTGAGGTTGCTAGTGGGTCCAGAAACAACAGGGGGGATGGAGTGAGTGATCCCTGCAGTTTGCTGGCTAGCCACCCCAAAGCGGGCGGGGCTGTGAAAGCTGTGCTCAGACTAGGCACCCCACCCGTCGTCTCTTCTTGCAGTAGCAAGGCGTGTTAGTTGATGAGGACTAACACAAGGGACATACTGTTGGAGTGTTGGGGGCCCTTTTTAACGGGTGATACTCGTAAAATATTTGTTCCAAACTCGGCGCGCGTCCTGGTTGCTGGTAGGTTATAACTTGTAGCGCGATACGTTACTGTGCCGCGCCGCGCACTCAATGTGGCTTCTCACAGCGACACCTGGCTAGATCGGCGAAATGCGCTATACTGTGCCGCGCCGAGCTGCCATGAATTGACATCGTCAATTAAGGTTATAACCTACAATTAAGGGCGCTTTTATTAGTGATTTAAAAAATCGAGTGTTTAGTGATTTAGCACGCTCGCGAAGCTTCTCATGGTTTAAATTTTTTCAGAAGTAGCGCGCGAGGCAAATGTGAAGTGTTATTGTTAAATTGTAAATGGCAAAGTTTTGCCGTCTGCGCGTGCGAAGTAGTGCGCGGCGCGCGCCAGGTCATGGGTGATACTCGTAAAATATCTGTCGACGAGTCCAACTCGGCGCTCGTCCTGGTAGGTTGTAAACCTAAAAGCGCCGAGTTGGACTCGTCGACTGGAACAAATATTTTACGAGTATCACCCGTTAACTTCGGGCGCGCTTGTTTCACAAGTCAAGAGGCGGGCGCGCGCTACTGCAAGGTTGTAGGTTTACAACCTACCAGGACGCGCGCCGAGTTGGACTCGTCGACGGTATATGGAACAGATATTTTACGAGTATCACCCGTTAACTGCAAGGGCTCTGGATAAAGCAAATTTTTATTAGTGATTTAGAAAAATCGAGTGTTAAGTGATTTAGCACGCTCGCGAAGCTTCTCAATTATCATGATTTAAATTTTTTTCGAAGTCAGAAGTAGCGCACGAGGCAAATGTGAAGTGTTTGGTGTTATTGTTAAATGGCAAAGTTTTGCCGTCTGCGCGTGCGAAGTAGTGCGCGGCGCGCGTCAGGTCATGGGTGCAGTGATTCAGATTAACATTGGACAACGCAGAGGGAATGGTGCGGCAGGTAACCCGTAACATTTTCAATTTCCTCCGCCATAATTCTTACCCAGGGATCTCAGTGTTAATAATCATAAATTGCGCCGATGAGTTCAGCATCCCGAGTTGTATATATAACTACACTACAACACAAGACATAAATGCAGATTGATTAAATTTAGTGAATCCAATATACTTAAAATCACAAATGGATATACATGATACATATAAATATAATAAGACAATACGTATGAACTATTAAACATTTAACTACCAACTTTATTTAACTAATAGTAATTCCCTTGTATAACAAACCAAGACGTGCGCCGAGTTGGACTCGTTGTCAGTCTTGGAACAAATATTGTAAGACATAAGGTTTCACCCGTTGGCGTTAGTAATTCCCAACAGTGAACGGGTATGTCAAATGCTACCGCTACCGGTCCCGTTGAAACGTTGCCAAACGTTAGCTTCCTTTTTTTAACATGTAACGTAACCAGTAACTTTGGCCAATATGTAAATGTTTATTCAGTGTAACTGTAGGTTTTGTAACTTTGTTAATATAACTTCAAACTTGTTAGTCTATGTGCTATGTAATATTAATAAGCGCCATGAGTTGGCACCGAATTTTTTGTCTCCGATTTTGAGAAATTTGGTACCAAAAGCCTTTAAAATCTAAGTGTGAATAATGCAAAATCAAATTCACTGTGCGGCACGATAAGGACGAGCTGTATGTGGGCCTCCTGTACGTTACAAGTGTGTAAAAAGGACGAAAAATGAGTAATTTCTTGCTTAAAATGCCTGTAACTCCTAAAATATCGAATATTTTGAAATAATTTTTACAGGATCGTAATTAGCTTGATCAGACGCAACTTTTGGTACCAAGATTATAATATTTGAAGGACCAAATTTTACGTCTTAACTCTCATTGAATGGACGCGTGCACATGTGGCATGGTCTTGGTGGGCTAGATAAGATTGGGACTGTCGAGCTGGTATAAGTTAATATCATAAGAAATAATAAAATAAAACATCTAAAAATAAATGTACAAATAACTACCTAATCAAGGCGTGAAAACTGAAAACTAAAATCTTAACTATTTATGAAAAATAAGAAAATGATAGTCATAAACATTAATATCATCAACATTCATTAGGATCAACTTTGACAATATATTATCATGAAGCCACCAAGGCTTACTAGATATGAGATAACTTTCAACTAAAATAATAAAATTATTCTAGTGATACATGTACCAGTACAGTATAGTCTGTCGTTTCGTTATAAATACTTAAATAAGTAATATAAATAAGGGACCTATCTCAGTATGACCTTATGATAAGCGCACTTATAACCAAGTTTCAAGTCCAAAGTATTGCCTGCCCAGCACGTTCGGATCAGAAGCAAGCTCAATCAGGCACATAACCTGTTCATCCACACTTGCACATACAGCTCCCACCTTAGCACGAGCATGAAGCTTTCTTGTTCCTAAAGCCACGTGACTAAACGCTTGTTCCTTTCCGACATGAACATTTTCCTTGAGCTCGTCCCGTAATATCTCACTAGGATTGCCTAGTTCCAGTTTCTTGCGTGCTGTCTCTACTTTTGCTTTTGGATACCAGCTGTCTTCACTAGCTTGACCTGGCAATACAAATTTGAAATAAATCTCTACCCAGATATTTAATCACGATTAATGACTAACCGAATAAGTGAATGTGTTAACAGTTAACAGCCTTCCATTAAATATCGCATGATTGAAGCCCACTCTATAATTCCCATGAATATAAACAAAGTAGCTTGTTTAAAGTACCTTGTTTAGTGGAATGTTTTGTTGAGTATTTACACCAGTCCAGAGTAGGCTCCCTAACAAACACGTCCATCAGACAGAACAGAACAGATCTGATCTCCCTAAGAGAAGTAAGTGCACGTGTCATGGGACCCCTAATAGCAGCTTCAACTCCCAGCGGGGCAAATACTCCGGTAAACTGTGGTGTTGCTCGAAACGGGAGCAGTTCTGGTACTGGCAGCAACTGAAATACAGATGAAATTTTAGCATATCGCGAACAAATGTGTGGTGATTTGAACCCTTTCTCCTAAAAACTCGGTCGATAATTAATGTATTTTTCCCTTAAGGCCTTGCAACGTTTGGTGTTGACTGTTGATTGTTGAACAAGGTTGTACTTGTACTCAAAGTTGCAAAGATTAGATTTTAACTCAATTTGATGACCATTACAAGTAGTTATGACTTATGTGTTTGTAATTGTATATGTATGACTATGATGTATATATACATATATGTAATACGGCTTACCGTGGTGGCAGTGCCGAAGACGTGACCGAAGTCAATCCCAATAAGTTCCCCTGAGGTAGTGTCCAGCAGGTAGTTGTTAAGATGTCTGTCTCCCACTCCGAGTATCCAGTGACATAAACACATGCTCACATACGTAGATACAAACTTCCTGGCAGATAATCAGGGGTTACTATAATCTATACTATTATAAAATCATGGGTGACTGCTTAAAATAACCAAAAGTGATCGATTAGGCTCTGTATCATGACAATAAGAACATAAGTGGTATTTTATTTAAGGGCAATTAATAAATATGAGGTCTAAGAGGCAACTTAAGAGGTATTTAAGTTACTTTGATTAGTACGGAGTAACCTAACTTGGGTAAGTGCTACTTAGGTTGTAGTAAACCCACCATGGGCTTCAATAGGATATTACATAAATAAATATTATGATAATCATATATTCAACAATATCAATAACTTAGGTTACCAAAGTGGCACTTAATCGATATCTGCCTGCCACTTAACTTTGTATGTTAAGTGTTATGTTAAATATGGCCCACTTTTAAATGTTAGGAGCTGATCTTCACGTGTGTTTTTACTTATCAGTATGTCTTCGTGTGGAACATGACATAGTTTGAGATTACTTTCAAACTTACTTTCTAAGTAAAACGAAAGAGTCAGGCGATCTGGCGAGATTAACCAGAACTGATTTGAGTTTAGTGGGAGAGATCTGACCGGAGAGTCTCTCACTCTGGAGCACAACGTCATCTAAACTGCATCTCTGGTACATCTGAGAGGGTTAGTTAATGGTTTCTATTTTCATATTTCTCATATGCAACATATTGTGTTGATTTCTGAAGTGATACTCTTATCACCAATCATCATGTTGTTACAACACGCATACGATGCTTTTCATACGTCATTTACATCTTTAGCGCACTAAATTTGAAAGTACTACTCAAGTAAAACCTTTTTATAACAAGCTGGAATGTTATCTGTCTTACTCCCGAATCTGTTCACCCACGCGTAATGTTCTGCTTTAACTTTATCAGCCACATGCTTATCAGTATCATCAAATAACACACTTTTAATTGTAGTCGTGTTCGGTAACCACGCTATCATTCCTAAACTGAGGGATATAGCAAAGTTAGAATGTTTAGAACTGTAAACAGTAGAGAAGTGATGATGGTATGAAACTAAATTGAGGTACTGGAAGTCAAAATCCCGAAGAAAATTGAAAAATATGTTGTTCGATCTCAGATCTGTCTGTCCCATTTTCAGTTTTTGAAGATGAAATTTCGGGGACCGAAATTTTACAGTTTTTACTGAATTTCTCACCCGAAACCAATAAGTCAGTCAACTGTAGATGGCAAATGATACGATTGAGGTGCTGGAAGTTTGATTTCGGTCGGAGAAAGCTCACTGCAGAAATCTTAACAAAACGAAAATTCCTATTTTCCAATTTCGGTCCCATTTTCAAGGAACCACATTCAACTAACTAATGATTAAACAAAAATAGATTTTCAAACTAAATTCCATTAGTAAACTTGTTAGTAAGAGGGATAACATCGTATGTTCGCAAGGAAGCATCTTTCAGAGTGGTTCTCAACTTGTCATCCATCACTTTCAGTAACTGAGGAAAAATTTTTAAAAAAGATCAGACAATTATCTCAATCGGTTCAATAGGTTCAATAAGTTCAAATATCTGAAATCTGTATGTTCTGCATATCGTTCCAGAAACCCAAGATAAAACTATAAATGGCTAAGATAACCAACCTGCATGACTCTCTGATCAGTTCGCAAGTCCTCACCACCCTTCACCAGAACGCTACGTTTTTTTCCGTTGTCCAGAAGAATATTTATCTTAACTGGCTTTCTGAGAGAAGCCAGAACGGTGACCGTTTCCTCGAACTTAGCTATCTTTTTGTGGTACGACGGGTTAGGTTTGTCAATCCCACTGTACTGACCTAAAAAGGGATTTCGTTTGTTCCTAAATGTTCTGCTTTCATTTGTTAGTACTTGATTCAATAATCCGAAAGAGATAAACTTAGTTATAGGTTCGGCTGATAAATAGCTTAATTCCTGAGTAAGATGGTAAGGGTATAATCTTAGATAACCTGGCAGCTCTAAGGATCCAGCTTGGTACTTGGTGAACCATTTCGAGTAATCGGAAAGTTTGGGGCCTTTTTTCCTTTTTCCTGGCTGTTTCTCTCCGTCCATTCCTACTTTTTGTTGATATTTTTTCAATTCCTCCACTTTCTTCTTTACGTCAACCTTGCAATTAATGAACATTGAAATTATAACAACTTAATATTCTGCATCATATGCCAATAAGTTTGCACATTACCAATAATGTCACACATGAAGTGCTCTGGGGCAGGTGTTGGGAAACACTGACCTATATTCACTCCACAACTTCATGAACAATATCAGTTAATATATGTTCTTTATGATGATTAAGTGATTGTAAAAACACCCCTCGGTTATGAAAACGACCACCTCCCGTTGACAGTTACATGATTACCTTCGCATAATAAAGACCGTCCACTCTGCAGAGCCTGATATCAGGTGTTTGGATAAACGTGCCATTTCCCCAATGTCAAATTGACACTGGAGAAATGGCACGTTTATCCAAACACCTGATATCAGGCTCTGCAGAGTAGACGGTCTTTATTATGCAAAGGTAATCATGTAACCATGTTACTTGAAATATGCAGATTTAATACTCTAGTTGGAGTCGAGCACATTCTGCCGTCTGCTGGCTGGATTATTACAAATAAAATACTTGCATTCGATAGCTGATGTTTGATGCTGTTATGTTTAGGCTAGATACTGGAGGAAATTTCCAACTTCAATCAAATCATCGCTGGATAACTCTCAAGTACAAGATATCTTACATAATTTGAACGAAGACAGTCATAATACCACTAGATTAGTGAGTGTCCACTAAAGTCAGCTAAGTTTGTTGCATCGACGGACCAAAACGATCAACTCTCGTACAGGTGATGAAGTTAAACAGGTGATATTCGAGCCTTTTTTTATTGACCTTAAAACTTTCGGTTCCTTCTAAATAAAATTCTTACTGGAGACTAGAAGACATTTTTTCCCGATCCATGACTCGTGCCGAAGGCACAAAAGAGTCAAGGACAAGGGTTAGCGATCGAGGTTTTTTTTTGTACATGGTAGCTTTGCGACCGAGCGTGCGTGCGTGCGTGCGTGCGTGCGTACGTGCCTGCGAGCACTGTTATCGCCCACGTGACTACCTGCGCAAAGTTATTTTGCGTGATAATCTGAATTATATAATTGTTGGCGCGCGGCGCTGAACCAACCAAGTACATTATTAATTTCATCATGTACGTATCCCACTAGGCACTAATTGATAGCATATTATTATTATTTTGAGTTAGTATTACTATTTTGCACAGATCCGTGTCAGGTTGCATAAACAATAAACATATGGTTGCATAGAAGTATACACGATTTTCAAATTCAGTATACTTAGAATTATATTAACTGGGCGGCGCTCGGCAGTCGGCATGTCACTTCGCCATATTTGCATGTTTATATAAACAGTAAAGACTGGGCCGTCCCCAGGTTGTATGGAATATGATAAATACGCCATCAAGGATCGGGAAATTGAGCGGCCATCCACAAAAGAAAAGCGGCCGCATTTCTTGTTCATTATGGAGTATGGTAAGATTCGCAAATCTTAACGTTTTTGAGTTTGACATATTTCAAATAATTTGTTTCGTTTTTGTAATTGAAAGAGGGATTCGAAAACTTCCGTGGATTGCTATGATATATACTATATAGTTCTCTACTAAAATTATAATCATCTTATCGCTTCTTGTTTTTTAGCCACTATCTCCAAAATCTGGCATATTTTATAAGTTGTGTATAAATGTGGCCATTGCAGTTAATTTGAGCCTATCCAAAAGTCTTTACAATGTTCTGAAGCTGAACTGTATAGGAATATAACAAAAATGGGCGTCTACCATGAAATGGAGGTAAACATCTTATAACGTGCATTTCTGATTAGACTATTCAGCAAAATCAGTTGTGAAATAACTAGCCACACAATCACAAGATTGGATAAACAGTATTCACAAAAATTCGCCTCTCCATCGCAACATAAAATGCGTTTTGAACTGAGTTTATTAATCAAACCTTGTTCAACTTGCTGACGAGTGAGCTCCAGGATTGTTTGTGTTTGGCAGCGAAGGAGTTTCTGATGTCTGACAACGAATTCTTACAAAACAATTTCTCCGTTATTTTGTCCAGATAACTGTTTTGAGAGCCCTTGTTCGCCTTTACTGCCATCTCCTCGATCAGATCTTTCAGCAGCATTACAGGGGGAGTCAGAGTTGCCAGAGCTTCGAGAAACGGATTTAAGTCCTCACTTGTCACTAACCCACTTATCTCGCTAACAACTGAGTTTACCTCTCCCTCTAGATCCTTCCAATCCTCTAGGCTTACCCTGAACGGTTGAATCATGTTGAAAAGTTGCAGTCATTTGAATCGTTATTCTTGTGTTTAAAAAATATTTTCCAACGTTCTTACAATATAAAATGTACATGCTTGGATGTTACGTCGAAAATATCAAAAAATTGTGTGTAGTAAAAACCAGACCTCCAAGAATAAGACAAAGCATGAGGATAGTCCAGCGCTATGATCTTCAATACTTGAACAGCTGCATTGCCAAGAGGAGTGGGGACAAACGCCAATAGTTGAGATAACCATTCTATAAACATCCACGACGGTATCTCAGAACACTGAAATGGAAATGTCCGATCAGGGCAATTAGGATCTGAAGACCAAAATACATTTGACTACGACAATCAGCGGTCATTTTTTCTCCTCTCTGATTAGAAAATATTACAGATAATTTGTCCACTTTTAAACGTATTTCACCACACTCTGTTTCCAGCCATATCTCGCTATATCACTCTAACTCTCAGCTCCTCCTCAAATTAAGAGTATTAAAAAGGGGAGGCGGAGGAAGGGGGAGGGGCAGCACTAAAGGGGGAGGGGCAGCACTAAACAGATCACTAGCCCTGAGAATCTACATGAAATAAATAAGCCCATTCCCGCTCTCTCTCAGTCTCACTCCTAAACAGTAAACACAGCTCGTTGCATTGAAAATTAATTAAACATGTTTGGCTGAATTAGTATACATCTTATCTCCCTAGATGTTAATATTATTGAAGCTCTATGTGCAGACGGCGTTGTAGTCGTCGAATAAATTGAAATGGTTCCCGAATCGCACCAGTACTGTTGTAATATGATCAAATATTTCGTGGTTAGTAATGAGTTGGTGTGGTTAGATAGTAAAATTTGTCGCTTTTAATCAACTTATTGGTTAACTAGGTTGTTCACCCCTAACTACCGTGGTCATTTATTATTCTTCAACGCTTCTTTGTCGTATTAAGATTTAAGATTTGATCATCGGTAGAGTGAAGGGCAAAGTTTTCGCTTCTTAGGATAAGAGGTAATATCTTTCCAGGAAATGGAAATACTACCTTTTTAAGGAAGTCAGACTTGGCTTGCTCTCCACTGATAGATTGCAAGACGTAAGGGAACATCAGTCTCGCTTTTCTGCTATTATACCTGAGAGAAGATTCAAATTAACAAGATGAGTTACATTTGATAGATAGGACAAGATCATGCTCTACTGAAACATCCATGTCAAGTAGCAAGTGGCACAGTTGAAAGTAGGTCGTGAGCCGTAAGGTATGGATATTTGGATAACGGAACGTCTCCCGAAGATCGACTTATTTTAATATTGAAAATTAAGTGACTTCTTGGCGGTCCGTGTTAGTGCAAGATCACAAAAGTTAATTTCAGCAATGCTGGACGTAAGGTCCTGGTCAAATGATGGATGAATAAATCACGTTTGATGATTATCTCGTCTTTGTGCTTGAATACCGTAGATTGGGGTAAAATCGCCGTGTCGGGGAACTTCGCCACTATTTTTCAAATAATAATTTTGCTGTTTTGAATTGTTAGGAGATCGAGTTTTTGTATAGTATTGTGTTGAACAAATGGTTATAAAGGTATTCCTATTCAAAAATAAACGTTTACTATGTTAAGTAACCTCGGGCAACAGGTAAGTCATTTAGCGTTACTTATTGCGTCTCAATTGATGATTCTTTCAAGAAAATGTCTGTTATTTCCTGAATTGTTTACCTTCATTAGAACATTGAATCTTTGTACTTGAGTTTTTTTGCTTACAAAAATCAGGTTTTCTGAGAAAGTTTAAATACCTCATAGCAGTCAGAGTGACGTTCTGAAAGACAAGCTTTATATCAGATTGTTGACTATCAATAAGTGCTAAGGTTGGTTTCTGTATCTCGGAAGAGAGCATCTCTATGACAACATCGTAGTTTTTAACACTGTTTTCCTGTGAGAATAAATGATCACTGCTGTTTGGTACTTATTAAACCATAAATGGCGAAATCATGTCTGACAATTTGAAGATTAAACGCGACGTTTCGCGATCATCAGCAATCAGCATTTGTTCGTTGTTATTTGTATTATATTTGAATCACATCGCAAATACTTGCTGTTACTTACAATTCCCTAAACGAATATTGTATCTGATATCTTATAAATGAGCTACATGTCTTGATATTTAATTGTGCTGAATATACTTACGTTGAAAGTGGAACAGTCAATCCGAGTAAGTGTTTCCATTCCCTCAGCATACAGGACACCAGGTTCATGACGACTTACAGACTGGTTCTTAAAGAGCAACTGTGCCATCTTGAGCTTCAACCGTGCACTGGATACAAACTGCTCCTCATCGAGCATTCCCAACATTCCTTCCAGTCTCGAGATATTCTCAGATACAGTGGAATTAGCTTCCTCAACACTCCTAATAACCACCTCAGTTCCGATCCCGTAGTACTTGATCAGATCCTCACCATACAGCTCGTTCACATCAATCTGTTGAACCAGTCTCTTTGCAATACTAGCACTGTTTTGTTTAAGAGCAGATTGGACAGCAGCGAATATTAGCCCGTACTTGTTATCTCCACCAGTACGATCCTCCATCAGAGAGTCAGACTCGGTATAAGAGCAGGAGTTGTCCATTTCGTCAGAAGTGTTACCAGGGAGCAGTCTGCGTTGGTTCAGCAAACACTGCCAAATAGTGAAGGGAGTTGAGATATCCTCAGGGTAGCACGAACTCCAGTGTGAAGCAAGCTGGGAACCGTTGTGAACCAGGTCGTACAGTTCAGCTAGTGCTTGACATGGATGTAGGGTGTTCTTCTTCTGGACATTCTGTTGAGAGACTCTCCATTCTGCCAGGAAACTCTGAACACCCTTGTAAATTTGAGCCAGAGCTTTGTCGTCATTTTCCTTTAAGTGGAAAAGCAATGCCAGTATGCCGTGAGTATCAACTTGAAGATGTCCCTCAAACTTGGTGGCAATATTTTCTAGTTCGGCCAGTGAGAAGGTTTCAGTAGCGTGGGACATGCTGGATAGTTGGATTCGAGCGGAGAAGGAAGAGGGTGGAAGATCCTCTAGGTGATCATCCAACTCATTCCACTGACATAGGTTTAACATGCAGTCCAGCATATCAGTTTGAGGTGGACCGCCAAGATCCTTGAATCTCTGAGCAGCTAAACTAAAGTTCTTTAGAGACATTGCTGTGATAGCTTCTAGCAATCCTGGTTCTGTACTCATCTCGTGTTTCCTGATGCCGAGTATAGCATCGTGATCCCCGATTGCTCCGTATATGCTGCACAGCTCACCCCAACCCCTCTCATCTTTACCACATTTAGTGATTGCTTCCTCAGTCCAGAGGACTCCCAAGCTATACTGATGGTGACGAATAGCAAGAGAGGCAGCATCATCAGCAACGTAGGACTGCTTGACACAAAGTTCAATACAGAACTTCGCGAGACCCTGGTTAGAGGTTGTTCTCAAGATCAATAAAATACCGCCCTGTAGATCAAGTTTATCTTCATCTTCCAGAAGAGCTTGTAGGGTAAAGGAAGCGAATTTCTCAGAGATGTTAGCGATAGCACCCATAGGTCTGATCAGATCTTGGTAGGTGATCTGAATGTCAGGGAGCTCTCCAGCTCGGTAATTCCTCACTAGATGGATAGCCTTGCTGCGAGCTTGCTGAGACTGCTGACGTCTCTCAGCTCTCATCCTTGCTGTAGTTAACTCGCTGTAGGACAATGCCCTCTGAGACCCACCAGATCCTCGTGATAGGAATCCTCTGGGAGTCTGCATCACAGATTTTGTGTTGTGACCACGACTGAACTGGTCGGCTTGTGTCTGAGAAAACTGGAAAACTTTCTGAGTGGCCCGAACTTTGCCTCGCTGCTTTTGTTCAAAGTTAAATGTACCAGATATATCCTGATCTTGCCATGATAGGTCTGTTGCTAGAGGCTTGAGATAAAGTGGGCTTTGATATGATGAGGATAATTCACCGAGTGATAAAAGAATTATTGCAACAGATCTCAGGAAAACGTCATCAACCTCAAAGGAGTAGAGTGACACAAGCTTCTCGAAACGGTTTTTAACAGTAGTTGGCAAAGTTGAGTACCAAAATTCTACTGCAATCTGGCGGAGGTCTTTGTCACAAACAGCTCGAATAAGGATGGGAATGCAATTTTCTGTGATGATCGTGTTTGAGGACTTTTCATAACACTTGATAGTGAAGCTTAGGAGCAATTTTTTACATTCTTCTCCTGAAGTGCCGATGATTTTCTTCATGTCCTCCAAAATAGATAACATCTGAAAGGAAATTATAATATTTTCGACAGCTGTTAAACCTAACATTTTTAATAGGACAGTAAATACACAAAAATGTGGTCTGGATAAAAACAGGGGATGGAATTTCTTCCTGTCAATTTGGCAGTATATGTACATTGGACAAGAATCGACCGGAACCCCGCCTTAGTTCCAATCCCGGTCAATATCGGCCATTTGGCCGACACTAAGCCGGGATTTAAATAAACACTTTTTGAAAAACGTCTCGTAAAAATCAACGAAAAAAAACCATGGATTTTGAAATGTCAAATACTTTATTAAATGAAATAGCACACAGTTTACATTCTTAGTACAGTAACGCTACGAATTACCGCGCCCCGAATAACCGCGACAACCAAAATTTTGTTTACCACTTTTCATTTTAAACCCACGGTCGTGCTTGTCAGCACTGTGATGGCGCAGATTATCCTGTGCACTATTTAATAACCCATTGTATTACACATGGTCAAATTTTGTTGTCACTTTTATATTCTTCAATTCTATCAGTTACGTCACAAGGCCTGCACCTTATTCTCTAAAAGGTAAAATTATGATAACTTGGTAGAAATATCACTTCTGTTAGCTGAACAGTTGACTAAATAGTTGCCTGCTGGTGCCAGGAAATTTTTCATACTCATAGCAACTGGAAATTCTGATATATAATAAATTGTTACGAAGAGGAACTAGTAACTACTCAACAAAAGTATTAGAGTGTACTTTAGAAATATTTTGGAAATATTTTTGTCTGATTAAAAATTGCATTGCAAAATGATCAGATTTTTGTCATATGATACGTATGGTGTAGGGATATTCTAATAAAATAATTTCAATGAAAACTGCGATTAGAGATAGGTACTTGTTGCGGAAAATGAGGTAATCGCGATTTGTCGCGGTGTGCGGACAAAATTAAAAATCGCTTTCCGCACAAGCCGCAGTCTATGTTTGTCCTTGATTGGTAGTTGAATTTTAGCAGCTCAAAAATCCTGGCCCAGGTTTTAATCCCAGTCCCGGTTTAAGACACCCTCCCGGCACTTTTACCAGTCCCTAAAACGGTTCCGGTCGATTTATGTTAATACAGATATTAATGAGCAATAGATATAACAACGAACCTGATCACTGCTGATGGAGTCAGCTGATTTGATAAGAGCATTAGCCACTGTAATCTGAATATCAGTATCTCTCATCAGTTTCTCCAGTCCACTCTTCTCTAGAGCCACCACCACACTTCTCTCCTCCCCCGACATACTCAGGGTCTCTATCACAAGTGACTTGGGTTTCCCGTATATCCTGCTCAGATTATCCATTAGTTGTCCTTGAAAGCGCGTAGCTGTTTCCGAGTGACCTTTACTAACAGCATGAACTACAGATATGAACTTAAGGAGCTGGACCTGGTCCCTGAAGAGAGCAAGACACAGATCATTCAACAAGTTAACAGACTCCGGGTAGAGTTGAGCACAGTTGCGCTTGATCCAGGAGAGCAGCAGTCCCAGCACAACTGCAGCTGGTCCGTACACCTTCTTCTGAGACATCTTCACTAGCTGGATCAGAGGGTCAAACAGTTTGTCTCCACACATCAGGACACAGGAGGAGTCGAGGAGGAGTTTGAGGGATCTGCAGGCGTTCTTACTGGTAGTGCTGTTGGTGAGGAGGAGGTGGGGGGAGAAGACACTGATGTCTATGGGAGAGCAGGACCACACCGAGAGGAGGTGGCTGGAGAGACCTATTAGGTCGTTAGAGATGGGGGTGTCTACAGTGCACTGAGTTAGCAGGAGCACCAGGAGATCTGAACACGTCATCCTGTCCTGGGACAATGGTGTTATTACAGGTCATTTGTCTATACTTCCAGGTCATTGTATTTAAGTGATAAAGTGATGAGTCGCTCGTGGATTTTAGATACTTATAATCAATAAATAAGATGTAGCAATTATCACTTTATTACCACCTGATTTTAACAGTCCCGATATCCTATTCATGCCATAGCCAGAACCCCAAACTAACATTGATTTGTCCACGGATACATTTTTGCTTTCGCTATATTTGCAGTAATGCCATTCCAATATCATCTCAAATTTTTGATAATAAATTTCTCCATTATCTTGCAGTGCATGTTGAGTTCATTAGATTATTCTTAATTTTTGCAAACAATCCAGCCATTTGATTTATCTACTGACCACACAATATAGTACAAAAAAAGAAAGGCCAAAACACAAGTGATATTTTTGTACGTGCGTAGGTTATTGTCAGCACTCACAACACATAAAACAAGAGGAGTATAAAATGTCACTATATTCGTTCAGTAATGCTTCGATTTAACCAATTATTTAAACTAAGAGATTTTCATATTGGGAAAATGGGCGATTAGGTTTGGCCTCTATACGGCCACTATACGGCCTCTATACGGCCTCTATATGGCCTTTAAACGGCCTCTATATAATATGGCCCCTACACGTATAGAGGCCGTATAAAGGCCGTATAGTGGCCATATAGAGGCCGTATAAAGGCCATATAGAGGCCGTATAGAGGCCGTATAGTGGCCGTATAGAGGCCGTATAGAGGCCGTATAGAGGCCAAACCTAATCGCCCATTTTCTCTTCATATTTTATATTTCTCACTAAATAGTAATTTAACTGCGTCCAGTATAAGACTATATCACAAACTCATAATTCACATTGATACTAATGAAACGCGAAGATTAACGAAGGTAAAGTTTCATGAAATAGCAAACAAATCGATCGTCAGCGTTTGTATTAATAATCGATATTGTTTCTTATTTCGTAAAACTGTATGTTCGTTGATCTTCGCGTTTCATTTGTATATCGCTTCTACTCATGCGAGTACTTTGCACAGTACAATTCGCTATCGACTAACATTGTATACTAACATTGATAATAATCTGGTGGTTGAAGCAGATCTGCAGTACCTCCTCTGTCAGGTTATCCACCACACCACGTGACACAAGCCACCCCACCCACACTTCAGAGATGCTGCCCAGGTGAGGGAGCAGAGTATCACCCGTACTCAGTAGAACTCGGGATAGCAACACTTTCACATTGTTTTCTATCATCACGTCGGTTAATCTGAGGGAATGGACCAATTATTAATTTATTCTTGATTGAACATTTTAGAGGTAATTTTATACTGCGCCCCCCTTCCTCTTATACTGCACTCACTCTTGTTGTTCCCTTTTACCTGTTATTTTTACTCGGTTCTTCAAAACATTTACTCAATAAAGCAATCAATTTTCATCGATAAAAAGAAAATTCCCAAACTATTTACAAATTGCACATGCTAAAACAAAGATTCCTTCGTCAAACTTTCGCGCTTAAATAATACAAATGAAGTTCTATACACGTAGAAGATAGGACTAGGTACTGTTCACTCAGTCTACGAGAACTCGCTGAGTGAGAGACTATCAGGAGATGACTCTAGAGAGTAAGCGAAGGGTTCGAAGATGGCATCGGTGACATTCAATTCGTAGGGTTCGTTGTTCTGTGATGTGAAGACACCATTATTATGAGCGTTGGGAGGACTGATGGGTTTCATGTTCTGAGGGAGGGTGATGGGACCCTGACTGAGAGCTGATTTGAGGGCTGCGAGTTCAGGGTGGTGACCGTTGAACCGCTGGTAACTGTCTCTGGTGATCATATAGGATGGGAAGGGCTTGCCGTTGCTCATGTACTGATTGTTGTGATGGTGGTTGTGGTAGGATCTGTTGTTGTTGTTATAATTGTTGTTATAATTATTGTAGTGTCTCCTGTTGTTTCTATTCTTCCTGATAGGATTCAAGGCTGCGTAGCTGTACAACACCGCCTTCAGTAGGGAATCTGTTGAAGCAGAGGCTCCTAGACGGGATAAAGCATCTTGTGCCAGCTCCAGCTCGTAGCCCAGCTTCACAGCGTACTTTAGGAAGGGGTGGTCTGTGTTCATAACCTCTCTGCAGTTCTGATCAGGAACGGACAGAACTTCTTCGTCAGAGTTAGATTGTGTTCTGGAGGGTTTGTCTTCAGAGGAGGGATGGTTGGAGCTGGATCTGCTCTTCCTGTTCTGTTGTGCTGCTAGTTCCGTCAACTGGTTGTAAAAGTAATCACTGCTCAAAGCGGACGTTGAATTCATGATGAGAGAAATAATGTGTGATAGTAGGGTTGAGGGATTTGGACAGTGAGTAGGATGTAAAGTTGTAGTTAGTACAGTTGGAGAGAGATAGAAGTGAATGTTGATATTTATTTGGGATCTCAGTACCTCTTTTAACCTGGATACTGGAATCTCGATGAGGGGCAAGGACTGGCTAATTGAGTCTGATAGGGTACTTAGAGTAAGCTCATTCAGTTTACATGAGCCCAATAAATGAGGTAATGAGGTATAATGAGTCAGTGAAAACGTCGAGTGAGCCTTGATACCACGGATCAGATCATCACAGTTCAGATTGCTTGTTGATGGGAGCCCGTGTGTCGAGTTAGCATACAATCAGTACTCATGTGACATGCTGCATACCAGACAATATATATAACGTGTGTCTAGTTAGCATACAATCAGTACTCATGTGATACGCTGAATACCAGACATCTTTAATAATTAATTGCTTCATCAGCATCTGTTGAACAGACATTCACCAGACACTTAACTGTACGTGTCACAGTTTCTGATAGCTCAAAATTGAAAATTGGTACTCCATCCAAATAACAAACAAAAATATAAAACACTTTATGGCCATGTTCATTTGAAGTTGAAATAACGTTTTCGACATTAGTGGCTTAATTTTGGCATCTCATCTATTTAACCTAGCAAGTTAACAAGTTCTGACCCATAGTTTCCGTGCTGGCCCTATTTAGGCGATATCTTATCACCTGATTAAGAAATCGTTATTTGACTAAGTTTGTCTAAAGGATGAGATGATTATCCTAACCATCAAGGGTTTATATGATTTCATAGTGTGACAATATTAACTACACCGTGCCTTTTAATAGGGCTATTTTTATTCACCACTATCTTCAACTTCAAATGAAGTTGAAGATAGTGGTAAAATACAATGATTACAAACATTCTTAATTCTTACATTCCTGAGAAACGTTGAAGGAAGGCCTGTTTGTCCACGAATTTCTGGAACACTCTCCCCAGGGAGCAGTAGAGTGGATCACTGCTGTTACTTGGCTGTGAGCTCTCGGAAGCGGTAGTGCTCGATTCTTGCACTTGAGTTTCTGAAGCCATTTACGATTTAAGTTGGGTGTGAAACTAACGGCGATTGATACAATTTAGTTAAAGCGTCATCTGACAGTTTTACAATATTTGAAGTCACCTCATTTGAAAGATGCTTAAATGATAGAGCTAGAGACAAATTAACCTCACCAACTTTAAAACAAAGGATATTAAAACTATGAAATTATAAATTATTACGATAATGACATAAGTTAATATGTTTGTACTGTGTGCTAGTTTATACTAGTAGCTAGCTTTTAATGTTATATTTATAAAGTACTTTGCTTTAGTCTTTAAATTTCGATATGATATTTTTTGAAGAGTTACTCTGACGTGGGCGCTGTTTCGCAAATCTGTTTAACAGGTTTATATCTGATCTCCTTTTTTATCGATTAAAGAATTAACAAATAACGACTAACTGGTTAGAGCAGGATTTTGAGAGTACTGAGTAACATCCTGACTGAGTGAACTCTCGAAGAGTAGCGTGAAACTTCCTGCACTCTCACTTGAACTGTCCTCACCTGTTTTAAGTTATTTTAGTTTTAGTATGATTTAAATCAAGTGAACATCCACACAGCTGCTTTAAAATTTATGCTCTATCTAGGATTTATTAGATCAAAGATATTACCATACAAATATTAATGATTAAACCATATAAACACAGCCGTTAAAAGCTTTTAATACAATTTAATAGGAATTTAAGGCTTTTAGCGGCCAGGTTCCAGCTGCCGTGCTATAAAGCTTAACAAACATATTCTCCATATTTAACGGCTTAAGTTGAACCAAATCTTTATCCCAGTGGGTGGTCTCCAAAGGGCTACTTAAATTAATTTTAGATCTTGATACTGGTAAGCAACATTTGTTTGGCATTTGAAAGCGATTTTGGGTTTGTCAATGTTGGAAGCTGCTCGGTCAAACGCTGTCACGTGTCAGAACAATATCACATACCCGCTGTCACGTGTCAGAACAATATCACATACCCGCTGTCACGTGTCAGAACAATATCACATACCCGCTGTCACGTGTCAGAACAATATCACATACCCGCTGTCACGTGTCAGAACAATATCACATATCCGCTGTCACGTGTCAGAACAATATCACATACCCGCTGTCACGTGTCAGAACAATATCAAATACCCGCTGTCACGTGTCAGAACAATATCACATACCCGCTGTCACGTGTCAGAACAATATCAAATACCCGCTGTCACGTGTCAGAACAATATCACATACCCGCTGTCACGTGTCAGAACAATATCACATACCCGCTGTCACGTGTCAGAACAATATCACATACCCGCTGTCACGTGTCAGAACAATATCACATACCCGCTGTCACGTGTCAGAACAATATCACATATCCCCTGTCACGTGTCAGAACAATATCACATACCCGCTGCCTGAGATTCTCTCTGTTCGCCATAGGATTTTTCCAGGGCTAGCACGGCAGGTAAGGTATCCGGAAAAACGTTGCTCCACACTTTCTTATTCCCCTTCTCACTTAGAACCAAACCGTCAAAAAACTTGTATTCCTGAGAGTGATATGAATATTGAAACTCATGACGGTTAGACATTATTATAAACATTATTATAAACATTATTATAAACATTATTATTAACATTATTATAAACATATGATAAAGTACACACACGTCACCGCAACACAATCGTCATCATATTTGGATAACAATTAAGTGGGCGCAGACGACTAGACTCTGGTTATCAATATTCAGTGTTGTATTCGACAGGCCATGTTGATTATTATTTATAAACAATGATTCGGCTATGTAATATGTGGTTAAATATGTATTATGTATCGATGTTTAACCAATTCATTAATGAAGGTAACTAATAACTAATACTATTTAACAATTACATCCCTCTTCTTAGCCTTGGCAGTGTGAGTGGCGTCTAACAACGCACTTGCTGTTGCTGCTATGTAGTCGGCATTAAGGAAACATCTCCAGTTCACGTTCATTATTTGCCAAGATCGCAGCCTCTTGTTGTTTCAATATTTCTCTCTTCTCGCAGAGGCAAAAGTTCATTATTTGTAAGACGGCTGGATGTTTTGGGGGAGGACCCCGGCCCTGATCTCATTAATATTAATATAATGCAGGCCGTTTCTGTGTTGCAAGAAAACGGGACACAGCTACATATCTGTTCTGGTCAACATCATTGACAAATTTGTCAGCCATCTCATTAAATTGTATTTTGTTGTTTGAATCCATTGGATGACAAGTCTGCCTTTCCAATGTTGCAAGTCAGTCAGTCTGCGATCACGGACAGACTGTCAATGCAGATGGTTGCGTTTGATGGCTTAATGTTCTCCTGGGTCGCTGGATCGGGAGTTCATGCAAAGTTCATAGCAGCTCTATCATCGTTAATCGTTATCTGATACATATACTTCTCAAAGACACAAACCCCTGTTTTGGTGTATACCCCCTTAAAAGTTAAAACAATGAAACAAGCCTGTTTAAATGGCTGCACTTTCTCCGAAATTTTCCTAGCTTATCAGTGTAAATAACACTGTTTAGCCGCCACTATGATAACAGTCTTACCCAAACCCTAACCCTGACCCGCCGTAGAGTCTCACGCCGTAGAGTCTTACACCGTAGAGTCCCGGACCCCACGAGGGCGTAGGGCGCAAGGGCGGTACTTTCTTAAAAGGGCGAATCACATGAATCACTTTAACATAGACAAACGGGTTTTTTAATGTTCTCAACAGCCAGGTTGACGTAAAACTTAGCTCGAAGAATTGGATCTACTCACATCTAAATTTGAAACGAAACATAGTGATGTGACAAATAATCACCCAGATTTACGAGCCAAAAATTGAGAGATTTTCCTTAAATGTCTCAGCCAACTCAGCAGCAGATTTGGTAACGTGCTTAGACCAATTAAACACTGCCTAGATGTTCATGTGACAAACTTGGTCTTCAGAATATCGCAGGACGGTTTTGGTTCCGATGCGTGTCGATGCTAAAATGAATCATGTGATTCGGCCTTGTGTACACCCTTTTGGGAAGGTAACTCCCTTGTGTCATACGCCCTCGTGTCCTATGTTCTTGCGTCTACCGCCCTTGTGTTCTACGCCCTAGTGTCCTATATCCAGATTTTACTCCAGATTATAATTTTATTGGATTTTACCTGGCAAGCCAAAACTCTGACAACACTGTGCTAAATGCAACGTGTGTCAAGCTTATTTGCACCCACAGTTTTCCTACTACATTCTAACCTTGCTTCAGTGCCAAATAAAATGCCCGCGTTTTTGTCAATCCAATCAAAACACAACACTGAACCATATTCCCAGCAGCTAAATTAATAGCTACTATCACGTGTCACGTGGTTCTACTGCAGGTTAATCTATAGCTGTGTCACGTGGTTCTACTGCAGGTTAATCTATAGCTGTGTCACGTGGTTCTACTGCAGGTTAATCTATAGCTGTGTCACGTGGTTCTACTGCAGGTTAATCTATAGCTGTGTCACGTGGTTCTACTGCAGGTTAATCTATAGCTGTGTCACGTGGTTCTACTGCAGGTTAATCTATAGCTGTGTCACGTGGTTCTACTGCAGGTTAATCTATAGCTGTGTCACGTGGTTCTACTGCAGGTTAATCTATAGCTGTGTCACGTGGTTCTACTGCAGGTTAATCTATAGCTGTGTCACGTGGTTCTACTACAGGTTAATCTATAGCTGTGTCTGAACAATTAAATACTTATATTATGGGATGGGTAAAGTTGTCGTGTTGGGATTTAGGCTGATTGGGTACCCAATTAAGCTGATTGGGTGCCCTGCTAACTGTGTGGGAACGGTGTCGAATTGAGTGAAGTTGTCCGTTACCCATATTCTCATTCCAGTACTACTACTAAACTAAACTATACGGTTACTACTATACTATACTATACGGTTTAAGCTTCTGTGCTGTAATTGTAAAGTCTTTTGAATTGTTAAGAAAATTAGACTGTCCAAAGTTTAGAATATGAAAATTTCTTATATTGTATTTTCAAAGTGTTCTATCCTGAACCTGTCTTTAGCTCAGCCGAGAAAGTTGGCCTCTTATTTCTAATAGCTTTTCCAAAGAAATACTCTTTAAATTCTATATCCAGGTAGTCTTTAATTGATTTGTCGGTCATTTAAACTGCTAGACAAATTAGGTAACTTTGGTTATCGATGTATCTTTATTCTTTCTGCATAATTTATGGTAATATTTATTCGCTGGTTTAATAATAATATCCATAAAAAATCATTTATCTACATACCTAATTGCAATGTTTTGGTCGGAACCAAACATTTTCCGTCAATAAAATTTCCGTATCAAATAAGATCGCAAAATGTCATTAGAGACAATTATCTTGATATCGTAGTATAAATCAAAAGGTTATTAAATTTTCGTCATTATTGAAGTTTTACAGTAGGCTATTAACAATAATTAGCGTGTTTATGATGTTATTAGCACGAACTTACACAAATATTAGATCTAATTGGACGGGGAATTTGAATCAAGTCATAAAATCAGTTTAAGCGATATTTGTGAGATACCCAGCGCCAGCGGTTCATTTTGTTATTCATAGAATACGTTCAGAAGATGTGAATGAGTCCCAAACCCCCTCTTTTGTAAAGACTCTTTCTAATAATGTATCTTTCTTGCCAATATCCACAGTGTATATTTTGACTACTAGCAATACCGCCAATACATTGTCCCTGCGCATCTAGCCCCACGAAAAACCAATCAGTCACCAAGCTGCAACCTATTTTTATCATTTTTTTTATTTTTCATCATTCAATTTTTTGTTATGCAATGTAATAGTCAATGCCACGCTTCGTTGGTTGATAATATTTGATTTAATATTTCAATCTAATTTTTATAACTTCTTTGATTGTCCAAATTTTGATCTAACAAATTGTAATTGAACATCTTTATTCTTCATGTAGCCATGTATACCAAGTTCACATCGTTTTCGTTGGGCATTACATTTTTAAATTTTCAGTTTCAATTTTGTTTGCCATACTATACAATTTTATTTGGAGATCTTAAGAGAAAATGGTTCGCCAGACAACCCAAATTTAATCAATAAAGTTGAGTGTGATTAATATCCTAAACTAAGTTGTAAATAGCAGAGTTCAGACCTGTATAAAATGACTGATCGAGACAGTCCTCGAATAATGTATCTTAATGATAGTAACTGACATTAACCAACCAAAAACTAATTTTATAATAACCAGCAACAAACCGTTTAACTCTAAAGTGGTGTCAAGATACAACGATATAATTTATAAAATTATAAGATTGAATTATGATATGTCTCGCCGTCTTATATATCTATAAGGATTAGCACATGGAACTGCAAGACCTCTGATTATTCTGCCAAGAGGAAGCAACCTAACCTCCTCGTCATATATCAGAGATCGCACTGTCAATATTCCCTCTACTTATAGTTATATATATAGCAACGACTGACCAGCGACCTCCTTTATTTTCAACGTTTTAGGTTGCTCCAGTGCCCCCAATAATCGTTATTGTAAGCCGTGACACACGATCACCGCTCAGGATTGACACTTGACAGGTCGCGCAATTAAAGGAACACAATTAAAAACCTTGTCACAATGTAGGAGTGCACTTGACAGGAGACTGTAGAGGCTTTGATTCCGTGAGTACCACCCAGCTAACTTGTCCTCCGCCACTCCAAACTTACTTACTTCCCGCACTTTAGCTGAATTCCTGAAAGTTAATTTGAAAAGTTACCATAATCAGCAGCTTTTTATATCACAATTTACATTTATTATAAGCTGTGGCAATTTCTAATTAATAATCCCTCGCAATGGACCAGTGTTCTTTTAACCAAAGATCCACCTTTGTTCAGACACATGGTTCCATTATCTTAGTCTCTCCAAAGAAACAAACGAGAACAAGAACACCTGTGACAATATCTTATTTTTATCTAGTTCAAGTTCACACTTATGTGATGTGTGAATCCTGTTTGTCTGAACTTAATAAAATTATTGTTTACTGACACTATTTGCAAGATCTGACTCTTTTGCTCTAATTGCTGGAGCGCTAATTAATCGTGATGAATTAGCAGAATGCCAGACAAAATCGTACGTACGTCACATATATAATATTGAATTCCCGTTAAAATTATAAAAATCTGATAAGACGGAGCGAGCAAGTTTTTGGAATTGGACCAATTCTGACGGTGTCTCTTCCTTCCGTTATGATACCGGTCATATTAAGGGGTAATATTATCTCCTCTGTCGTAAAAATATACGAAATTAATGAAATTAAGACTCTGCAAGGACTTTGGTACTGTAATATTTAAATATTTATTTCCGTTAAATCTACCCGTTTTCAATTTGTCTCGCTCCCTTCCAGTAATGTCCAGGGGTAATATTATGTTCCTATCTGTAATTACCGAAAGGACAAGGGTAACGCGGACTGCATTCTCTGAAAGCTACTATTTCTAACTTGTCCCCTTTCAATTCGTTAAACGCTTTTGAATCGTGTTCCTGTTTTGTTGCTTTGTTACCCTCTTCAGTCTTCATCGCACCGTCTCTTGGAGCCACAGGAGGTTTAAGTAGGGTTAAAGCTCTGAAGATTGCTCCTTATAGTTTTACCCAGTATAGTCCTGATTGGAGTGGTTTAACCAGTGCTATCTCGGTTTGTGCGTGGATTAAGGACATCGGGTCTTCCTCCCAGCGCGCATTCTTCAGCTATGCCAACAGTGACAACAGAGAGCTATTAATACTGGCTAATGGACAAGACACATGTATATTGTTATCCTCATGTCAAACACTGAGAGAGCAAGCTCTCCGTTCCGAAAGGCACTAGCCACCATGTGTGCGTTACGTGGGGTTTGGCATCAAGGTATCATCGATACTACGTTAATGGAGTGCTGTTAGGGCCACAACAAACAGCAGCAGGCAGGACACTGAAAGGATATCTGAATGTGTACGCAAAAAAGTTGTCCTCCAGTGAAATAGCTAGCATGATGGAGCTGGGAATTTGCAATATAGAAGTAGATAAGCATGAGTCTTCTCGTGGCAGGATCTGCTTAAGCGTAGAAGGAGCGGGACAGTCTTCGATGGATATATAGCAGAATGTGTTGACTCTCTAGTCGAACAAAGTGTTATTGAAAGTGTAGAAAGACTGCCTGGTGGAGAAAGAAAGCTGAACGAAACAGCTCATGAGCTGACGGAGACCAGGTCAGAAAAATAAAAGTTGTCGATGAACCTCAATTCTACTCTCGCTGAGTTAGAGGAGGCCCACAGAAGACTAAGCTTTACTCTCGCTGAATTAGAAGAAGTAAGAGCCAAGAAGAACCGGACTTGGGATTGGGAAATATTCCTCTCGGAACAGTTCTTGAATCAGACCTTCACCGCTGAACTCTCCCAACTACTTCACACTTCTTGGGATGACATAACAGGTTATTGGTAAAGAGTCGTAACAGTCATATTGTTTAGTTTGATTTTGCTAATGGTATTATCAGAAAATAAGTGTAGAATAATTGAGTTGATTAATAAGTTTGTCTAGTAGATACCATGTACTCAATACATTACCTTTACACAGACTAGCGAAATAACAAAACTTGTAATTTCAGAAAGACTTGTAGGTATCAGGATAACAGATGAATTCCTCAAACTATTTGCCCACATACACCGTGATGAAGACAGGCCCTGGACCCTGGTCCATGCTGTATTCTGAGAACTATTTTAACGAAACATTCACGCGGGGTATGGCAGACTGATACACTGATACAGACTGATTGGTTGGTGGGAGTAACGATGACGAAGGATAGAGCTCCTGGACTACGTCACAGATAAATGGAACTATGAGTGGTACCTGAGTGGTACCTGAGATACTTCAGAAGACTACAGCTCTTCTCTACTAGAACGGTCATTCAGGGGACATCCAGTTATTGTGGAGTGACACGGGACATATTATACCGGTTTAACCGCGTAATCCTTTTTGGGATATTTTTAAGAACACAAAATAGTAACTGATTAGGTTCCTATGAGGGACTTTTATTTACAAAAGTATCTTTTAAATATTGAACAGTTCATTTAACCTACATTGTTTCTCTTAGACTTAGGGTCTAAACTAGGGGAGATAGGACTAGCTGTCTACTCGACAATCACCGTAGGGATAAATTCATTCTCAATTCTGCGCAAATAATTCACTTTTGTATCAATATCAACACATTCTAATCGGAGTGTTTGTATAAAAAACTTCTAAAGAATTTGAAACTTTCACTTGAACCCACAGCAGCTTGGCTCAGCAGCAAGCACCAGGTGACAGTTCAAATATTAATTACCGGATCCATGCTACTTTAATACCCTTACATAATCGAACCTTAAACACACCTAATCATATTAGTTTAATGAAAGTCCTAAACCAACCCGGGGATCTTGTGAACTATCTCTTTAACTCTCCGCTTCCTGTCACATTATTATAGACTAGCAGAAACCCGTATAACCCTAAATTGGTGTCAAGACTCAAGAGACTAAAATAATTACTACCTATTTAATTCGCGTTTTTGACACCACTTGGGGGTCCAAATTTTGGGCTCTAAAATTCCTATTCCTTGGCCAATTTTTTATTTTTTCATGCTGATTTGGAGGCCATTAAAGCATTTGACCCAGTCAAAAAAGTTTCAGTTGTATATCTTAGTTTTACGGCTTTTGCGGAAAGTCGCGTTAAAGTTGATGCCGTGGTGTCAGTAAAATGGTACGGATAAACACATATTATATATCGTCTCGCTTTATATATAGTAAGATTCTTGGGAATAATGAACCAATATAAGTATTTCAGTTTAATTCCACGTGTCGTACCGTTTAACTAAAATTCAGGGCTCTCTCACCTGATGATGTCCTTGCTTATATCAGTAGTAGTATCCGAAGGAACTGTCCGGGTCAGGAATATCTGGAGCATATCACACACGCTCTCCGTTACAGTGTACCCACAAGCCTGCGTGAGAGGGGTTTGTCGTTACCGGGGATGATTAGTGTTATTTGATCTAGCAGTTTGTCGAACTTGTGAAGGGGTTCCATTGATTTCACTATTAGAAATTATCAAATTCTTGATGATCAAATTACATTGTCATTTAAATTTTTTCAATGTTTAACATATTTCCACGACCGGTGTACATTTTAACAGATATCGAATTATGATTAGGTAGAAAGGGGCTTACAAATTCATCGGAAATTTGAGTAAGAAATTAAAAAGCAAGCCATGATCAAGAAACGTGACCTTCAATCTAGAATGAGATGAATATTGGTATCGCACAATGAGTCTGTGGTCAACTTAAACAAGATTAATATTAGGTTATTATAATGAACTAAATTCAACTTGTTGCCATAATATAAAGGGCACGTGCCTTCTTGTATTTGTTATATACGAACATGACAGCTTGCGGGAGCATAGTCTACAGATATATATCTGCAATCTGTAATACAGCGATATATGATGAAATTGATCGCGTGATTGATTGCTTGATTCTGCGATTATACTACGATAAAGTGGGGATATAAAGACATACGTTAACTGACACTCTATAAATCTACCGGTATGGTCGATTTTAAATCGAGAATCATCCAACGTTATCTTATCAAAGCGCACTGAATAATAGGTAGCTATTAGTATTACTATTAAAATAAAACGTAAAATTGTCTGCGAATATGATCAATATGATCAATATGATCAATATCATCAACTTTTATTGAAACTGCAACTTTTATTTATACGCAGAGAGATAGCATTGTGATCGTGAGGAAGTGTTTATAAACACTTCCTCACGATCACAATGCTATCTATCTGCGTCTAATAGCTCAAAGAAGAATTTTGTGGGTAAAGGGAAATATTTCTCGTAATAGTTTAGGAATCAGTTTAATATCCCGTTCTTTCATATTATACCGAAACCAGAATTTTTGTAGGGACAGCTAACTTATTTGTTCATTTAAACGTTTCGTGAGAGCTTACTCGCAATCATAGCGTTATTTCGCTACCTGGTTTAACGAAGTTGGGAAATATCTCAAACGTTAGTTTGGTTTAATATTCTATTCTTTCATATAATGCTGAGAGTTGTTGAGACTAGACAATAAATAGAAATTTCCTTTGCGAAACTGCTGTTACGTTTGATCTAAACAGCTAGTGAGCTACTTTAGGTATTTAGCTCGAGCCAGCGTCCTTTTAATTCACTATTTAATGATAACCAGGTCTCAGTACTACACACGAGAAATTGTTCTATTTCGTGGGGGCCCGGTGCTTGTTGTTTGTGAGGTCAGTACCTAAATTATAGGAGCACCAGTAATTATATTCTTCCGGCTGCCTCCACAATTAGGAACAGTATGGCTGACTCACGTCACGACTTTCTGAAATAACCTTAGTACAAAATGCAGCTGTATATTATCGTCATAGTTTAATGACCCACAATAAAGAAAATGATTAGGTTCATGTTTCTTCTCCAACTATACTTATAGTTCACAAGGGGTCGTCAATTACTCTCTCCATAACTTTCGAGGATTAGAACAAAAATAGTACCTATATATAGAATATAGATTTTCCAACATGTTCAGGAATATGAATCGACCATCGACATTTCTTGTCTTTAGCCGTACATAATTACAGCATAGAATTAGTTTCAGTTAGTTCATTTTGTTGAACTTTTACGATAACCTTTTAATTTTTAACCAAATTATGAAACAACTTGATCGTTTTTAATGCGTGAGGCAGATAAACGTCATTGGAAAGGTATCAAAACGTGTCAGTAAATGCCTATAAAACAATAGCCCAGATGATAGTGCTCCTTATCTAACATACAGAAATTTCCAGTAGAAAGGAACCAATGATCTGTCCTGATTACTCTACTAATTAAATGGACAATAACCAGACACCGACTCAATGGTGCGGGCGGACGGGTGAGGGCCTATCTCCGTCCTCCATTCCATTGCCTTAAGAAATATAGAAGACTGAACAATGGTATTGCCCGTACTGGCCAGCTCCACAGTCTACATCTCTGTTTTACAAATAATTTAACCAGGAATGAACGGCTATCTTCATTGTTTGTCAAAATATATCCATCTATCATCTATTTCTATTTTGTAGGCTTATTTTTAATTTTTCTGTTTTTGAGATTGATTATAGATATCTGCTGGCTTGGAACTATCGACCACGTGATACCTCCGCCAACTCCGTAACTTTAACGTGTCCTATTTGTTTATCTCATGACAGCTTTATAAAAACAAGATCTAAAGCTTTAAGATGTGACTCACAGCATCAACATCGAGATGTTTGGAGAAGTCAGGCCAGTGTTCCTCTGTAAAACGGATCAGGACTAATTTGTTAACTTTCTTTAGTAACGGTATCATGCCCTTCCTGCAAACTCTTCCTGAAACATTTTATAGTTATTGCTAATATATGTCATTAGGAAGGAATCCGAAATAACTTTGAGCCACTAACAATTTCGATTTAATTTGTCTGGGGGAAAGGATGGATCTGATTATTAATTAAAGCGGATGGTTTCCCGATAAAACTAAAAGGAATGTACACTGTTTAATTCGCACAGCGAAACCATAAAAAGTAGTTGATTGCAGTTGCAGAAGTCCATGCATTATCCAAGAAGCCGGATCGTTACACGTGAGCTTCTTGGGGCTTCTTGGATACTGCGGCAGTATTACTGCCGAAATCAGAATATTGAGAATCACTCTGTTATCCCTTGTTAACACTATCCACTGAATACCGATAAAGAGACTTTAGGAATGTGGAACTTCGAAAACCACGACTCTTCTTATAGCGTTATAGTTAATCGCTTTACTACCAATGTTTTAAACCATATCCATATTTAAACCATTACATAGTCTCGTCCATATTCCTGATCAACAACTCCAACATTTAATTACGCTAGTCAGTAGTCATGAGATGAAGGGTGTGAAGTGATATGACTATTGTCTATGCTATATACAGTTGTTTTAACTTATTAATTATTATTTAAACTTACTAATAATTTTCGCTTCAGTTTACATTTAGTTCGATCTATATTCAACTTCATATAGAACTTACTTCAGTAGGCAGTAATTCCTTTTTATTTCCAGAGATGTATTGGGTATAGTTGATCTCTGATCGCAATGCCAAACAAGTGAGATTTAAAGTGACAAATTAGATTGTCAAAGTGGACTGTGGAGGGTAGTAAATTAGTTTAATAACTAGGTGACAGTTTGATTAAAAACAAAATTAAAACTGATTGATTTAATATGGAATGTGCAACTTTGCAACTTTCTCTCATGAAATCGACCTTGAAGGTTTTGTGATACTTTATCGTTGTTTCAAAACTGTTCACTATTTAACAGTACATTCCTTATTTCCAATCCGAGCATTAATTTCACTATATCACAGTAACCACTAGTCATAAAGCAGATATGTGGTCAGTAAGAATCGACCGGAATCCCGGCTTAGTCCCAGTCACAATCGGCCCATATGTACTTGGAATCCCAATCTCGGTTTTTTCAAAATCAATGAAAAACACACGAAAAACCGTCACGGCCAAAAAAGCGGTCCGGTTTATCCTTGGTGGGAGGTAACAATATTACTCTCAGATCTAGCTTCAAATTTAGTTTCAACTCATTATTCGAACTCAGATTTCGCTTTAGTTTGAATTTAGTTGAGTCTAGATCAAAATTTGAGGAAAATTTACTCCATTCGTCTCTTGTAATTGGATGTAGAGATTCGAGTATAACAAAAAATTTGTTTGCTAACTTAGAGGATATTTAATCAGTTCAAAAGCTCGGTGACAGTTTGATTGAAATACAATTGCGTGCTCTGTCATGTTTGTCTGCCGCATTACATCATCTTCCTTGATTTAATGAACTCACTCCAACAATTTCACGTACAATTTACCCCACTACTTTATTAGTTTATTCTATGACTGTACACATTCAAGACTATAAAGTGCCTCAGAACCAGTTCCCCAGTTCAGGCAAATTGTCTTTTAACAGCTCCAATACTATTTTAACAAGATGGTGATAACTCGATAGCATCCTGCAGTCTGCACTTCATTCTCGGTGGTACACTAAATTCCATCTCTTCTGTCTTTTCATTGAAAATGACACCTCAATTAGGTTGTTCTTTGTCTTCTCGGTTTTCACTCAATTTTGGATAAAGAAGGGTGTTATTGTTCAGGGTATTGTTCAGTGAGGGTATTGTTCAGTGAGGGTATTGTTCAGTGAGGGTATTGTTCTGGGAGCAAGTGGGTTGTTTTTCTGTCTTTGTATTGTGTGCGAATAATTAATATCAGCCATGATGGGTCTGTGGTATCGATCTAATCAGTAAATATCACAACTTCTGTGGCTCTATCAGCCATGTAGTTCCATTATAGTGCCCCAGTATGAACATGCACCACCTAGCTGCATGATCACCACCATGTAGTCACACTAATAAACTAGCAGATAGCACTGTCAGACAGGTTAAAGCATGGTAAAGTGTTGGTAATCACGTGGCTATCACGTGGTCTCACGTTCTTTCAATGAGTTTCTTACCTTTCTGAAGGACAGCCTGTAGGAGGTGACCAGTTGTTTGGGAGTAGTTGTGGGAGCTAAGCCGAGTGGCTATTTGGGATATCATGGCTTGGTATGCAGCATCACAGGGGTGGAGGTCTTCAGAACATACCACTTTTGTAGCCACCTGATAAGGGGAGGGTATATTATTATCTTATCAGTTATATCACTATTAGTCATTGGTTTCAGACTCAATCCAGTATGAGGTCGTCTTCCACCTGCTGACTGAATTTATTGGCACTTGTCCAAAGGGAGCCGTTTTAATCTGCTTATATTAGCCCATATCCACCAGCGTGCGCTTTTTCGCATAGCGGGCTCTCACCAGCCCGCTGTCAAAGGGCCCGATATCTCTACAGCCCGCTCATGATATAGCCCGCTAACAAGTGACATTTAATTTGACCAGTAGCAATATAGCCCGGAGTTCTCTAAAATATTTTCAGTTTCTGTATCGTCTCCATGTGAAATTCCTTATTACACTGACTATATTATATACATTTTATTTTTGTGTCCGGTAGGGCTGCTCATGCAGCTCGTGAGCAGATGACATGATACTTTGATTTATATCAAAGTTATTATAACACACTACATAAGAAACATCAGCACTATAATCCCCCTATATTATTGATATTCATCGTCACTGACATTACATTCATTATTCCCACGGCCCAGGAATGCAGTGCATCTCCAGCCCCTATATACGACACAGCCCTTTATGATTGGCTTACATTGAACACGTGACGTGTTACCATGGTTACAACAATTAGTGGCGACCTTTTCTAGAGTCGACTTTTATACAAGCTCCATTGTTTATTTATAAAATTATATATTAACTGTAATACGCCCGCTGGTGGATATAATCCACATCACCTCGACCCGCGGGCGGAAAAATCGTATAGCACTCGGGCCCGATGGGCCCTCCGTGCTATACGAAAATATGTCCTCCTCGGGCTAGCGCCCTCGGGGACATATGAAATATTGCACGCGCGTGCGCGTGCAATATTTTGTTCCGCCCGCGAGTCTCCGGTGATATGTATATATATCTTTAAAGAAATGCAAAATATCTATACACTTAAAGGAATGCAACAGCTGAGTACAGTTGACTAACTTTACACGTGGTAGTGCTAATCTTTGATTTGATTTGCTCATCACCGTTCCAGGGTCAGTTTCAGATTTGTGAGATTAATCAAATTAATAACTAGTCAGTTTATTTCCCCAGCTTTGTCAGCCTCCAACAGCTATACATTCCTTACATTCCTTATATTAGGTGTCCGTCATGGCCTACCTCTCGTTCAGTCCCCTACAGTTGATACCTGCACTTTTTAGCACACCGACACGGTTAAACACCTGTTCTAGTCTCCAACTTGGAAACTCTCCAAGTCTCCATATTTGTAGCAACTAACCGAAATAAGAGGGGTAGCTACAGTAGCACTGGCAGCATCACAGAGGCAGTTAACCAGACTGGTATAGTCCCGGTGCTCCATACTCCCCGCAGTGAACTGAGTTGAGAGTAGAGGGAGGTGACCTGTCCTGAACTCCTCCAACACTGGGCGCAGGGAGGCGGTCTGCTCCTCCAGCTTCAGGCCCTGATGGGTGGTTACTAAGTTGAAACATTATCCTTATTTTTAACTTTATATGGTACTGCATAGTTTAATTACTGTTCTGGTAGTACCATAGTCGTTGGTTGATTAGTTGATAAGTCTTGACTGGGTTAACAGAACAATGTCAAAATATCATCTTAGTAGTTTTGATTGAAAACAGCTGTACTCGTTTATTGAGACTTATAAGAAAACAACATAACATACATAATTAAATGTTTCCTGTATTAAGCTAAATTAGATCTAAGTTTCAAGGGAGCTGTCCTCCTGCCCCGTGAACGATTATGATTATCGAAGACACGCTCCGAAAAGTTATACCAATGACAGACAACTGTACCGAACCTAATGCGGCTCATTAATTTACAAATGAATTATGTACAGTAAAACGTGTAGTGGGTCCCCAGGTTGCGCAGATCAGAACCTCCCATAATCTTACAGTTTTATTATATTATTTTACTGTTTGGTAATAAGTCTCAATACAGAGTTTCAATAGAGGACGCTGAATCGACTCCCAATCGAATTCCGCAACTTTCTGATCAAAGTTAGTATTGGGAACCGATCACTTCTTACATAATCTGACCACTACTTACAGAACGACATACGTACCTTCATGACGTTAATGAGGTCAATTTTGTGTTTGTTCGAGCTGGTCTTGTCGAGTAACAGAGTGTAGATTGTTCTCAAGAACTGTGTCTCCGACAACAGGGTCTTCTCCACGACACCACTCATCAGACTCACTATCTCCACCAACTGTATCTTGTGGTCAGGTGACATGAGACTGCTCGTCTCAAACACTTCCCAATTTGACAGCAGCGTTTTTAACAGCTCTTCTCCGCTGAAATAAGGGGTTTAGGATCCAGCTCATAAACTAATTTAACATGAAGAAGTTTCGTGAGAAACACATCTTCTTCACATGATTAATTTTCAATAGGTTAATAAATTATAAGGTTTTGGCATTAGAGCGAGCGGTTTTAGACATTAAAATGGTTTAGCTCTTCGGGTCTTGGCTAGACATATGTTGGTAGTTGTAATACGAGAAGCTGGCAAAATGAATTAAGAAAAATGACCAGTAGGTGCGATGATCTTAACTAATGATTTACGTAGATTTTTAAGAGTTAATGACCTCTTAATCCCGGTATGATATCGGGGCACAGTTCTCCTATATGTATATATACGATATCCCTATTTCTGGCTCGGTAAATTGTAGCAACTCATTTTTATTTAATTGTTGGGGCCAGCCGTAACTACCAACTACAGTGGTTATTTTTCTGAGGAAGATAATGAGTTGAACTATTTAAAGTTTCATCACACGTCTCCCAGGATTCCAGACGTGAACGCTGTTTACTTTCTTAACTTAGAGTGATTTGTTAACGAAGACGTTTTTATGAGACTTACAGAAAATGGGAAGCTCAGACAAAATTTTGTCCTTATTTTGTATTATTTGTCTGGGAGTTAAGTGAGGTAAGAGAGAAGGTGTTTGTGGTTTATTTAGTCTTATATTGCCAATAATAAGATTCTATATTAGATATTTATTTGACATAAACTTTAGTCTGGCCACCCCATTGACGAATTATCAACTCCTAGAGGCAGTCCAGCTTCTGTTTACAGTTCTCATTAGAGGATTGCGCAGACCGAGATCCCCAGATTCTGCAGCCCCTTCATCTATGCTTATTAGGGGCTATTTGAATTGAATTGAAAATTCTCTCCTGGCAAGCTAGGAGGGAATTTTCAATTCAATTCAAATGGCCGCTCCGAGTAAAAAAAGCCATACTGTCATAAGAGCATTTCTCAGCTGGATCGCGTGTCTCAATATCTTATAACTTCAGTGGACGATGGTCCGCCCTGTACAATTTACAAATTACCTGGCCAATCTTCGAAGACAGATTTACACAATTTACGAGATTGATCAGCACGTTTTACTATTTTGCCAATATTGGATAGTATAAAAGGATGCATCTTTTGAATATATTAGATAGGACATCAACTTTTTCCACATATCTAAGCTATATTCATGTCCACGTTATAAAGGACGAGACCTAGCAGTAGAATAATCAAGAACTAATTCAATCAATGTTGAATACCCCCGGAAATTAAGATAAGCCCGATATATGACGGAACGTCTGACATTTGAACTGGCCATTCCCGTTCGACTGCAAGCCTTTCCCCTGCGACTGCGAGCCTTTTCCATGCGACTGCGAGCCTTTTCCATGCGACTGCGAGCCTTTTCCGTGCGACTGCGAGCCTTTCCCATGCGACTTGGGTTTAAGGTTCTGTAATCTGTATATCACTCTAGACCCGCACTAGAGCCGAGCTGGTCTCGTACAACTAATCGCATTAATAAGCTCCCACCATAATATGCTTTTAATCAAATCGAAGTCAAATACCTGCTGACACAATAGTCGGGCCCTTTTTGTTCTCGAGACAGTCACGATCATCAATGGTAGTTCCCTTATAATGGGCACAATATCTTAATATCAAATCAGTGCACGTCACACTGTGGTTCAGCACGACACTACGACAGCTAGTAATGATATATCAAGTACACCTTCTCCTCCGTTTTATGATAGTCTATTGTAAGTTCATTGATAATCAATATAAACCAACACCCATCTCAGTATAGTTGTATCAGTTGGTGGATTATGAAGTTTTCAGTTTCACTCCGTGTTGTAGAAATGATTTAAGAGGTCATTAGATCTCAATTTAATAGGTTTAACAACATTTGCGATTTTTTATTAATTATTTAGTTAGTTTTGCAATTAGTTAATTAATTAAATAAATATTCAGTTGATTGTGTAAGTTTAATACTAATAATTTATAATTCCGGAGGTATCGATATTTATTAATTTCGGCCTGATTATACATCTGAGAAAATAGTGCATATATTACGCGAAAGATAATACACAGTTCAATTTTAAAGGTCGACTAAAAATACTCATACAGTTGTTCTATGGGAGTTCAACTTGCAAACTATCCGAGTCGGCATGTAATTGAATTTTTGTTAAACGCTTTTTCAGTTTGTGTTTTTGAAATTCACGTCAGGAGAGTTCAGGAGGGCATCGACCTAGAGAAAATTCCAAAATTAAAAATTACTTTTCATAGCAAACTATTGTCATATCTATCATTGCACATATTCATACTATGAGCAATATAGTTAATTTAAGCTATAAATAACAAAAGGTCAATCAAATTAATATCGACGAAGACGACATATTCTTTAGAGGCCGTGCCATGTCGTAAATATGGCACACACCAATTAATCTGCCAATATTATGACATGTTATTCTGTGGCACAGCACGGAGTCCTGGCTCTTTATTCGTTTGGGATTGGTAAATCGTTAGTTGATTTACAGACTCTCCCATCTTTCATATCCATGATATAATCAAGTTTGAGATAACATCCTTCAAAATAACAATGTCCAATTAGCAGGAAGATTTGAAATGTTGACGAATGAAACGATGGATATCTCTACTGCGATCTTAACCAATGAGATCTGTAATTCCCTATCACCAGATGGGGAATATTACAAAGACGACATGAGAACGTGCCAGCTGCTTGCTTCTGATGGGTATCGTGTGGTATTACCTGTTCTGGGGATTATACTGGGGATTGGTTGTGTTACCTTGAACAGTTTGGTGGCGGCCTTCTTCAGCACCAAAACCGACCAAGTCATGCACCTTATCTACTTCCTGTTGGCCTGCTCGGACATGATTACAGGAGTTGTTGCAATCTATCAGGGCGCTGCTGTCCTCCTGACAGAATGGTTCTTCCCAGCGGCCCGACTGCACTTCTACTCTATTTTCTACGTGGTGGGTCAGCTTCCTCTTCATGTCTCTGCCTTCATTAACGTTCTTCTCACAGTAGCAAGATCCACCTCCATTTTCCTCCCCCTCCACATCGTCCGCAGAGAATACATTAAACTGGGTATCCTCATTTACGCAATAATATGGTTTATTCTCATAGTGGCAGAGTGGGTCATTGCTCATAATGTTTCTAAATTTTTTCAAGCCGATTGGACTTCTGTCGCGGGTTTACTCTACGTCTACCCTAGACCAGGCGCAGGCCTCGTCGAAGAAAGCTTTTATCAGTTAGGAGGAGACGTTATATATAATGATCTTGAAACATGTCGGAGAATTCTAGTGATACTTCTCACAGTTTTCATACCTTACGGCCTGCCCTCCATCATTTGTCTGATAAGTGCGGTCATGCAAGTTCGGCAGATCTTCATCCACACCTCCACCCAAACTCGAGAGAAAAGTCAGAGAAGGAACAAGAAAATGTCCGTCACTATCATCTTGTTAACAGGAGTTTTCTTCATCTGCAACACAGCATTCCTGATGGCGATGATAATAGACATGGAGATTGAACTGGACACTAGTGAGCACTATAAGAGAGGATTTGTCCTGTTAATAGCTAGTAACCATCTGCTCTACCTCAACTCTGCTCTAACTCCTCTGATCCTCATTCTAAGAGGCAGCACCATGAAGGAGTATGTCAAGAGACGCTTCAGTGTTAGGAAAACCTCCGGAAGTGCTCACAGTAGAAGTAGCATGTCAAACAGTTTTAACAATACACATAATCCCGGCACTAAGGTTTAAATTACTCAGTACAGATGAAACCTCTGAAGTAATGAAACTTGCTGAGGAACGGGGTCAATTGCCAACGAGATTAGAGACTAGAGATTGACGAAATTTCACGCTGATTTTGACACTGCTGAGTGCTGAACTAAAATATTTGACGAGATGAGGAAATCTCAGGCAGAGTTTCATCAGATGGCTGGTAAATAAACCTGCATGTGATTTTGGACAAAGCTTCCTGTTTTTTAAAAGTTATTCTTACCTGATTCGATGGTTACCGGTGCCCTTCAATTTGATCAAAAGCATTATAATTATTGTGATTATTTATCCAGGTGATTCAAGTTTTTGGGGATAATTTGGTCATCTTAATTTGGAATAATTTTTCAATCTTGTAACTATCTACCACGACAATCTAACAAAAATTGAAATTTTTAAAGAGATACGATTTTTGGGATAAATCTTCTACTCATGATTTTCCAAGGACTATGTATCATGTTTTGGAATAATCAATCACGTATTCAAATTTATCTACCCCTTTTAATTTTGTAACGCTAATTTGTTGTAACGCTAATTTGTTGTGAAGCTACCCGTTTACAGCACGCTCATTCATACTACCAATTTCAATAATTATTATCATGGCAAGTATCTTCCGCGATATGATTCATATAATAATAGTGAGATAGCTACTGAAGGATTGTCCCCCTATTCGTTGAAAAACCAAGAAAAAGAAGAATTCGCGGGGAAAAATCATTCGCGAAAGACACTTGCCTTCAGTTTTCGTTTGTGTGTATATACTATATACTGTGTGCTAAAAATCGTTTTACCAAAACAATTGTCTTCCTTATGATAAATTATGATGTGATCAATTTAAGGCTTAAATGCATCACAAATAATATTGGAAATTCTTTTAAAATGTAAATTCATCACGACGAAGGGGAATATTTATAATATTTTTGAAAAGCATACATACTTACATATTAAACAGTGAAACAATGACTCTGAATACCATGGAATGTTGAGAATTTTTTTCAATTTATTTTGGTGACTAAAGTATAATGACACCACTTGGTGTACGTGCATCAAGAATAGCGAGTATGCATGATGTCTAAAAAATCTTGATTGGTCAAAATATTTGAGGATATTGATTTTTCTGTTGATTGATTCGTACAATAATGCACTTTTTGATACAATGATTGAAATTAAATAGACTCGAGACAGCGCTAACAGTGTCCGTAAGGCGTACATCGATAATGGGTAAAA